CCCCGATTCGAGGTCGCCACCAATCGATGCAAGCAATCGGGGTCGAGTGGGTTCGGGGAAAGCCCATGGCGGATGGCAATCCCACTTTGCGCCGCAACCCCCCTAACGGCCTGAGCGTTGAAACTTGAGGAGGATTTTCCGCCGCCTGACGGGCTATTATTGGCACCACCTAGTACGGGTATCAAGCACCTGCCACCCTTCCTCAACAATCTCCTTTGGACCAGAGGAAGGAGAACCCTCTCCATAGAAGTTTGACTGCGACAAGCTCGCCGCACCTGTCTTATCTCAGTCGGTACTACTTTTACTCATTGGGAGGGTTCATGGAGGATGAGGTTTGTCCTTAGTTTGTTGTCGCTGTTTATTGTGTGTTGCGGAGTTTTCTTCCGCGTGAAGCACCAACCACCTCCTCTCCCAGACTAGAAAGGGAACGGATACGAATAATCAAACCCCGCCGCCAACCAAATCAAGAACCAACAAATGTCCGCCTGATGACGGACATCTGACCTTGGTTGATAGATCAGTATCAACTTTTCCTCCTTTCCCCCTCCGGCCAGTCCCCATGATGGACCCAATCCAACCCATGCACGGCGCTTGAAACGGTCATCCAAGTGGATCAAACCGTGAGGAATCCGGGCCTTAGAGGCCAAACCAAGGACCCGATAACCGGGACAAGCCAGCTTGTCCCTGCACAGCATCTCAGATCTGTCTCGTTGATTCCTTCTATCTGACTTTTCTAATCTGGCGTCGCTCGCGTAGGACTGTGAATCCTGATTTGATTATCCAGGTGGTGAGCCGTCGCCAATGTCCTCCACCACCCCCTCCATCCGATCTGAAGGTCGATCCGTCGCAATGGTGGCAATCAATCAATCGGTCATCGGTTGATGGTCAATTGCGAGAGAGCGGGGACGGGAGACGCAGAGCCAGACGGAAAAGGGCAAGACGATGGAGTCATCAACCTTTGCGTTCCACGTCTGTGTGCGTGTGGGCTTTTGCTTGTCTGATGGACTCTGTCGGAAGTTTCTCTCCTCATTCCCCGCCAAAGGAAACTATACTCGACTGAGTTATGGCTGAATGACACCCGATCACCGCGCCTCTATTGAACGAGGCGATCGACGGTGATGCTGCGCAATGCAAGGAGCCGAAGTTTATTCTGTCGTGCTTTTTTTGTGTTTCGTTTCTCGTCAGCTGCTCATGCTCATGCTCATGCTCATGGCTGTTGTCTCGCATGTGGCGGAGTTACCCGCTGCTGAATAGGAGACTGGGGGGATCGCGCGGGAAGGAGATTTCTTCATGCTGATGTTGCAGTGACCAGAACCAGATAATCGCCTCTGAGACCTGACAGACGCAGCAGAGTAGAGCAGACGCCTTGGAGGGCGAGGGGCAAAAGGGATGGATTCACTGCACTCATTCCAAGTTTCCTGGTTGGCGGGGTAAATTCGCATCCCTCGGCCGAGACTTACGTTTTATGAGACGTACGGAGTAGTCTACAGTAGCACTTCCCTGTCTCCCTCGCCGTACTATGAGTAACTACGTAGGTAGTCAATGGGCGATGCTGCAACGAAATCAGGTCGATCAAACCGACAGAGTAACGTTACTAGGCGCCAACAATAATCTTGAGCAGTACTTCGTACTTTTGACCCGAGGCAATACATGGCTCGCGGCGGCCCCTCTCCTTCCGCCCTCGGCGTGCCACCCGTGCCGTGCAGTTTGGCAAGGCTCTGACACGGACTATAGCCGAAAAGACTATAATAATACATAGCAAGTTACCACGGACGAGTATGACTATACCCTTAGGTGATCGAATTAATAGCCTAGCGTATATTACAAGGACAAGACCCCCGAACTCCTCCGTTCGATCGCAAGGCAGATCGCAATCGGAGCTAAAAGCGTAGCGTAGCGTCGTGTCGTGTAGTGTGGTAATAGCATAGTCTTGCTAAGTAAGCTATAACACTGCTGCTGTCAGGTCACTGGCCGGTTCTCGGTATGGGCTGGCTACCTAAGTTGATGATGCTCTCGGTGATAATGGGCTGTAGTATGTCAGCCGTTGGGTTGGTCGATCAAACCCGCTACGAGCAAATCAGACTTCGAGGGGGGGCGAAGGGCTTGAGTCGAGTAGAGCAGCCTCGTCTGCTTTGACCAAGGCATAACTAGGTATAGGTTGGTTATCGCTATAGCTATAGTTGCCTTATACTTGGGCAGGTTGTTGGTTGGGATTGGGATTGGGTACTCACCGCCAGTACTGATCGCTTATCATTATCATCGTGACGAGTATCTACGGAGTAGTTATCCTTGTTGTTTGGGGGTATTGTTCATTCCGTCAGATGTTAGCCAATGTTGATGCGGCCTCTAATATTGCAAGGGAGTCGCTGAGGATGGAGCAGGATTGGCTTGTTCCTGGAATTCGGTGTGCTGGTGCACCGCAGCAGGCCATAAGTATATTGTTCTTGTTCGGAGGAATCAAGGATTGAGAATCTAGATCTGTTCCTGATTGCGGTGGGAACAGAAGCTCAGCCTTGTTGGTAAGATTTTATCTCTGGCGGTGATCGAACGTGCAACCCCTTTTTCTGGTTGTATAGTAACTCTTTCTCTCTTGGATCCTCAAATCCTCACTTGGCCTTCTCTAACCTCAAGATCCCTAGACTACCACTCCACCCCGCATCATCCTCTGATATCAGCAACTCCATTGCATCAACAACCCCCATCAACCAACCCCAGCAAAGTACCCGACCAACAACACCACAATCCCAGCTGAAAACCAATCCTCACCCCCTGACACCCCCCAACCCCAACCTCAGTCCAGTTCAACAAAAACCCCCAAGCGAAGCCTGTCACAGCCCACCGCACCCACAACTCTCAAACCCATCTCCCTCCACTCATCGCAAGTCTCCAAGCTCCAGACCCTCCATCCATAAGCCTCTGCAACCCCAAGCCTTACCAGGGATATAAATTGCCCATGCATTAGCCCGCGGATATCCTCCCCCTCACCACCTACTTTCCCCCAAGATCTCACCGTCTACAATCCACATCCCCCCAGTCGTATGATCCGATAGCAAGGGAAGAGGGACTACTTTTTCTTGGTCTTGAAGTTGGGGAGCGCCAGACCGCTTGTCTGTTTGTCAGCACTATATTACATATTACTTCCTTCTTCTGTCTGGAGATTGAGGGCGGGCATAAGAGCGGAGAGAGTGGGGGGGGGGGGCCGATTCGTGGCTGTGGATTGTCTAACTACCTAGGTCTTATCCTCTTCTCCTCTTATCCTGGAGAGTGCAAAGTATGCCCCAGGAAAAGGGGACGGAGAATGAATGCCTGTCTCTGCGCCAACTTATCCCCCTAAAACCAGAGTAATGAATCAGTGTGATGGTATAGATCCTCGGCTGTCCAGCTAGATCTGAAGCTCTTGACATACTAAGCCCCGAAGATACCCCCAAGGGACACCCGTGATGCGAACCCGAGTAATTCACAGTATAAAGTCATTCAACGCCAGCGTGACTCGTTCCCTGGACACAATATCAACCCAGTCTACGCTACAAAACCCCCGGACCCTGCTACTGCGTACCAAGAACACCCAGTAAACCAGAACCAACCACAAACCACAAATCATGAATCATGAATCTAAACCAAAGATCCGGCCACGAGCGGTGGTCTGCACGTACACACGGTAGTGATCAGAACACCATTTACCCGAGAACATACAAAGATATATCTCAGCTACCGGAAAAGCAAACCACAAACCACAAACTCCCAAACTCCCAAACTCCCAAATCAAGCACCACGTACCATAACCCAAAAAAAATCACCGACCAGCCCACCCCATTCAAAATCCAGGCTCCTGGGGGCCTATGACCTAACCTCAACGTAGCTGGCTCCTCAAAATGGAATGCATGCAACGAAGTAACAATGACACTATCGCCCCCCTCAACCCCCGCCTCGAACATGACACAATAACGTCGCCAACGTCTTTTTTTCGCCAACCGCCACGAACCTGTCTCTTACTAATTTGGGAAAAAAGACAGTTGTTCGTGGCACTGCAATCATGCATATGCAAGCTGCCAAACTGCTTGCTGGAGGAGGGGGGGAGGGGGATGGGGCAAAAAAAGAAGGATTGCAGGTGGTGGTCTACACCGCTACTATCTTGCTTCGCTTGGAGGGGGGAGGGAGAGGAAGAGGAGAGGGGAAGAGGGTGGTTTATTTTTTTTTTCGCGCCCAGTTCCCGGTCTTTGCGCCAAAGCCGAGCGAGTGGAAGAGTATTCATTCGAAACTGACAAATGCCTTTGGCCACAGGCCACGGAAAAAAGAAAAGAGATCGCAGGATACGGCGGGACTTTCCTGGGGATCAGGAGGGGTAAGCATATGACTGGTTCTACAGCTTCCAGCTTCCAGCTTCGTGTTTGCAGAGGAAAGAGGGGTCTTCAATCATGTTCAAAATAAGAATATGTATATAAATTATTGATATAGACAATGAGATCGCAAGTATAATTCGGACAAAAATAGAAAAAAGGGCAGTGCCAAACATCCATTGCACAAAAACAGAATTGATCACTTTTCAACGCTTTTTCGGTTATCCCACAAAGCCACAAAGGTGCTGCTGCTGCTGCTGCTGCTTTTCAAGATTTCTTTGATGTTCCGATATAAACGCCAGAAGAGAGCTTGACGCTCCCTTTGCGCGATCCTTCGGAAGTCAAAGGATTGGATTGCATCGCTTCAAATCCCATTCCGACCCCGTCCGCATGATCCAAGATCGTAAAACCGTCTCGTCATAGTGAATCGTTCCCTCCGCCCATTGTCATGTGCGCACAGACGGGTCATGAAACTTGATGCAGCAGAAACAATAGCCCTTGTCTTGTTGACGTCGATGTCATACAGGCTACAGCTTGGTTTCACCATCCGCGGCTGATCTGCCGCGCAAGACCCCAGGCGGTGACTCATTCCTTTGCCGCGTCAAGGGAGGGTGTAATCATTCTTGTCTGCCCACCAATGTGGCATGTGAGCAGAAAAAGCGCCTAGGATTTCTGCAGTGCTGCGACGCCCTCGCTGCTGTCAAGTAGACCAGCCTCCTTGACCAGGTCATAGAAGCGGCCTTCCTGCTTGATCAGCGCCGCAGGCGTGTCGAACTCGACCACACGACCCTTGTCCAGCACCACAATTCGATCGGAATCGATGATCGTATTGATCCGATGCGCGATTGTGATGATCGTGCGGTCCTGGAAGATGCTGCTGCGTAGCGTACGCTGCAGCAATGCATCCGTTTCCACATCCACCGCCGCCTGGTAATGACAACTGTAAGCGTCCGAAAAGAGAAAGAAGATGACGAAATTGCGGCCAATGGAAGAAATACTTACAGTTGCTTCGTCGAGCACCAAGATATTACTAGGCGTCAGGAGTGCTCGGGCAAGCGAAACCAGCTGGCGCTGGCCTTGACTAAGATTAGATCCTATAGCAAATGAGTTAATCCGGGCTCTCCGAACATGTAGGGTAATGCCCGAGCAAGGCAAGGCAGAAGAAAAGAGCTTACCTCCTTCCTGAACTTGGGCATCTAACTGCCCATCCATCTGTGCGACGTGATCTTTGAGGCGGGCATGTTCTACCGTGCATTCCAGTCAGTCATCATCATCCTCGTATGCAATGTAGCCTAACTTACCAAGCACACTCCAGAGTTCGGTGTCGTCATGCACGTGTCGAGGGTCCAAATTGTCCCGAACAGTACCCTCGAACATGGCTGGGTCCTGGGGAATGATAGCGAGGCGGCCCCGCAAATCGAACAGACCAATCGTCGATACATTCAGTCCATCGATGCTATTGACAACGTTAGCACCCGCAAAAGAAAAATCTTGGGCAGCAGTCCTTACCTGATGTTGCCGCTGTCAGGTTCGATGATGCGGAAAAGTGCAAGCGTCAGCGAGCTCTTGCCTGCACCTGTGCGGCCAACGACTCCAATTTTCTCGTGGGGCTTGATGTCGAGTGAGATGTCCTTGAGAACAAGATCAAGCCCAGGGCGGTAGCGTGTGCTGTAGTTGTTGAACGTCACCGCACCTTGCGCCGGCCAGCCAATAGCGGGCCGGTGCTTGAAAATCACCTCAGGCGCTTCACTGGGCAGGTTTGCGTACTCCAGGACACGCTCGACCGACACGATATTGGTCTCGACTTCAACTGTCTGTCGCACGATCCAGTTCAACGACTGGGTGATCTGGAGAGCGTAGGACATAGCCAGACCGACCATTCCAGCAGACAATTTACTACCGGTCGACACAGAGACGATCGAAAGCGAAGCAGCTGTCAAGATGATCACAGAGCCAATAAACTCAAGGCGGACAGCTAACCATCTGTTCGCACTGATGGAGGGGAAGTAGGCACGAATGTTTGCGTCCATGCGCCACTCATTTTCCAGTGTGAATCTGTCCTCTTGCTTGTACGCACGAATGGTAGAAATGCCACCCAATGATTCTTGGAAATGTGCGAAGATTGGGCTTCGAGTCACGCTGTCCAGACGCTTGAGCTCGCGGGAGGTGCGCAAATAGTACTTTTGGTAGCTGAAGTAGACCCAGCCCAGGGGGAAAACAACCAAGAGGAAGGCAGGGGTGGACGAGGCGATGACCACCATGGTGAACAATGCCTTGGCAGAGTTGCCGAACAGCTATGGCCTAGGTCAGCACCGGTCGCGGAGATGAGGAATTGAGGCACCTACCATGTTGAACGTCCGCGCGAGTACCTCATCGATACGATACACATCACTGAGAAACAATTCGGTCAGGTTTACGTCTATGACGCCATATCTAACACACATGATGAGTGCTGACTCACCTGGAGAATCTGTTAAGGATACGACCGGAGGGTGTGGTTTCGAAGAAACTCATGGGAGAACGGAAGATGGCGAATGCCATGCGCTCGTGGAGTTTACGAGAGGCCTGGAACTTGTTAGCGGGGGAAGACCTGTTGGGTTGCTCGAGAGGAATACATACCTCAATCGAACAGAAAATCCACAGAATGAGGTTCTGGAGAATGACCAAAAGAGACGAGCCGAGACCGAAGGCCAAGTAGATGCCGATATACTTGCCGTTCGGAAGGTTCGGTTGCTGCTCGCTGAGCTCAGACCAATGCTTAAGCCAATAACTTCCGGCAACCTGGGCGGTTTGAGCTCCCAGGAGAGCCAAAAGATAGAAGCCGACAGCAATGATGTTGCTGTTCTTGGCGTATTCGCCGTAAACGCTCCATTTGACTTTGCCCTGCTGCGATGTCTCCTGGGTCTGCTTGCTTTTGAGGACATTCTCCTCATCCCCTAGCTTGCGTCTGGGTCCCTTCCAGGTAGCAGTACTGGCACGGCGGAGAGTGACTGTGCTCTTCCTCCGTTCAGCATTAGCTCTGATAGGTGCGATAGAGCCGATTTCCCGCTCAGCATCTTCCGGATCAGAAATGTCCGAGTCTTCGTTCTCGATCACAGTGGTGGATTCAGAGCCCTCGCTAGCGGGATCACGACCCTCGCTGCCGGAGCCCTCGTCATCCGAGTCGTTCATGGTGGTCCGGACCAAGTTGGCAACTTCACCCTTCATAGCCAAAAGTTGCTCGTAGGTTCCCTTCTCCACCAGGGTCTTGTTGCGAAGTAGCCCGATGAAGTCCGCTTCCTTTAGGACAGGAATGGCGTTCGTCGCGAGGATTCTTGTCTTGCTGCCGAGGATACCGTTGCGACCCAGAACCTGGTTGATGAGATGGCGACCCACATGCTGGTCGACCGCAGACAGAACATCATCGAGAAGGTAAATATCCGCACGAGCATACACAGCGCGGGCAAGGGTCAGGCGGGCTTTTTGACCACCGGAGAGAGAAATTCCTCTTTCTCCAACCTCGGTCTGATCACCGTCGGGCAAGTTCTTGAAGTCGTCGGTCAAAGCACAGGCTGCCACCGTAAGCTCGTAGAATTGAGGGTCCCACCGATGTCCGAAGACAATATTCTCGCGGACGCTAGCATTCATGACCCAGGCCTGTTGCGCGACGTAGGCGATACGGCCTCGCACAACCACCTCGCCTTCCGTCCTCCATAAGTCGCCCAGAAGCGCTTGAAGGAGAGAGGATTTTCCAGCACCAACGCGGCCAACGATACAGCTCAGCTCCCCCTTGCGAGCACTGAAGTTGATGTTCTCGATGACATGCGTGCCTTCGTACCTGTTCCAGGTGAAAGAGGCATCCTGAATCCGCACAGATTCATCTCCGACGTGCGCAACGGTCTCCTCGCGGGTGACAGCATCGGTCTGCAGCTCCTCTGCAGTGAAATAGTCCGTAAGACGCTTGACGGCCACAGAGGCTTCGATCAAAGCCGTAATAACCATTGGCAAGATTGACAGAGGGAACGTAAGGAGGTTGAAGAGGGTCAGTGCTGGGAAGACAACGTCGGTAGTCAGGGGTTTCTCCGATGTCAAGGCATAGACAGTGAAACAGGAGCACGAGACGAGGAAAGGAGTGGACTGCCAGGTGAAGTTGGCGATCGACTGAGTCGCTCCAATTTTACGAAGCGTGTTCAGCTCCAGATCGTTACGGATGTGACTAAGCTTATTCATGAATGCTGTGTTCCAAGCATAGAGCTTGATGCTCTTGATGTTGTTCAGAATCTCGGTCATGAGTCTGGACCGAGAATCCTTGTTCTTCATCTGAATAAGCTGGAGCTTCTTCATCATTCTTGCGATCACTCCGTTCAGAGGAATCATCAAGATCATCACACCGATACCTGCAAACATGCTGACACCAACAAGCTGATAGAGCGACAGCATGCACAGAGTGATCTGGAAGGGTGCAGACCAGAGCTGCACACCAAACTGGGTCAGATCAGATAGACGCTGCTGATCAACAGCCATGTGATTGACGATGTCACCCGTGGTCTTGGAGGAGCGGCCCTCGCTTGACAGCTTCAGAGACTTGGCATAGATCATGGCAGTCAGAGCAGATTTGACGCGCATGCCAGTGTCGAATGCTCTTTGGAAATATTGGTGCAGGCACATGGTTTGAGAAACCGATACCAGGAACATGGCAAGCGCAATGGCGACACCTCTGATGATCGGCTCCGGCTCGGGAGTCCCATACGAGTTGATAAACTTAATCAGGAGACGCAGAAGCTGGGGCTGGACGAAGGCCAGAGAGTCACTGCCGCACTTGATGATCGCACCACGAATGAAAGGGCCACCAAAGGCTCTGAACAGAGCAAGAGATAGGGAGGGCTTGCTTTTCTGCAACTCTTCATCCCATTCTTCCTGCAGAGCGCCCCCAGTGACACCGGTGGTGTCCCGACGACGAAGATTCCACAGATCATCCTGGGTGAGGAAGTTGTTGTACCCGAACTTCATCATTGGGGTCATCCAACTAAAGGTAAGAACCGAGAAGATATCGGCGTATTCGTAGGGGCATTCATCCTCGTCTCCGAGCGCATCGTAATCACTCTGTTTCTTCGGAACCAAATACTCGAGAGCAAATTCCAACAGCGCCAGGCCCAAGCTGACATTAAAGCAGACGAAGTATGGAAGCCGGTCCTCGTACAATTTCCGTGCGATGAGCGACCGGAGTTTGATACCATAGCCAATGGAGAAGAAAAGCCAGTAGAAGAGCACGACGCCATTGGGCTGTCTGCTGCGCCAGTGTTCATGGTACTGCACTGCGAAAATTACCCCGAGAGAGATAAGGACAAGGACGGAGCTCCAGAACCGATAGTCGTCAAACCAGGTTTGCGGGTAGGATTCGATTTGTATGGCTGCCTGAAGAGCAGTGGTGAAGATCAAGGCGGACAGGACGGTCTAATAATGCGAAAATGGTTAGACTGCGATGAGATCATCAACACCGGACGCGGGGACTTTCGCACCAATTTCGCATAGAAATGCCAGTTCTTAGACACCGGCTGAGGCACTCTCTTCTTGAACAAGAGCCAAAGGGCTCCTGCACCTGCGATGATGCCCCATACCGCAACCAAGGAGACTCCAAAGTCGAGGAAACACGGGGTCAGGTCGAATCTGAACTGACTGAGAGGACCCCAGCCTTCCGGGTCGTGGCAAAATGGCTGCGGTTTGGAGGAGAGGAATGCTGAGTTCGGGGTGGACGACAGCAGAGACCCCCGGCTGGAATCCCCGAGGATGGACTGGGAACCACCGCCTTCCAACATTTTCCCCGGCTGAAGGTTACCGTATCCCAGCTCCTAGATCGCTCGTCCTTTCGGACCTGCAAAGGAAAAAGGGAGACCGAAGAACAAACCCCAGGGTACCGTCTGGGGGGAAAGGCCTGGAGGGAAAGAGATCGTGGGAAGAAGAGAAATGAAAGTTCGAGAGAGGGACGATAACGAGAGGGAAAGGAAAGGCTGATTAGTGAGATGCACGCTGCTTACTAAATGTGACGGTCAAAGCTTCTGCGCGATACGGAGACGTTACCGGAGCCCGGCCGTAAACCGAACTGCATGTACTGTACGCCCGGCAAGTTTAGTTTCTGTGATAGGGAGGTGTTCAGATTGATGAGTCACAATTCTTGACAATTGACAAAAAAGGGCATGCAATTGGAAAGTCGGGCAGAGTTGCATCCCTGCGCCTTGATCTTGGAGAAGGAACGAGGAAGAAGAAGAAGAGGAAGAAATAGCAGAAGTCGAAATGACATAATCCGATCTGCTCGTGGTAATCGGTCTTGGCATCCCCGACTGGGTCTCCGACTACTCTGGACCATCAGTTTCTCTCCAGAATACACCTTTCTGTCTACCAGTCCCTGATACTTCAAGGGTCGCTATGGCTATGGTATGCGCATGAATTGAATGAGATCTGAATTGCTCACAGCAGACATGCATGGCCACCATTATTCACATTAGGTTTCTGCCTACGGAGAGCTACTGAGAGATGATACTTCCCGCCCTCGAAAGATTTGCGACATGACGTCCACGTGCTTGACCTAGACTATAGTATGATCTATGTACTGTACTACATCGTTGCACCTCACGCTGTGTACAGTACCACGAGTCAATAGGCAATGACATGTGGGGTTTCTGGTATACCTTGGTCTTTTTCTCGTGTTCACAAAGCGTAAGCGCGCGATAGAGTGGGTGAACTGAGGGCAGGGCAACCGATGTCATCCAATAATATCTACTTGTTTTAGTCAAGCAATTTATGGATAACGAAGCTAGGATTTCTTGAGTCTAGGTCGAGCAGTGTTCTATCTGGATATAGCACAGCTAGCACGTTACAGTAAGGGTCATTTTGTACTGACATGTACGCACGAAGATCAATAGTATGACTTCTCCACTTCTCTAAAGGGACATACGGACATACTATCTACTGTTTTTTATCACAGTCAATCTTATTCATATTCATAATGTCCTGGGTGGCATCAACTGACCGCTCGAGAAAGTGAACTTATAGTTTCAGGTAGTTTCCTCCGAGCAAAGTTTCGGGGCTTATCTCCGGGCGGGTCGACCTCTAGGCTGGCTAGCGGGTCCCTTCCCCCTCGACAATCCAATCACACCCCGAATATTCCGGAGCATGCCATCGTGGATTCGGATTGCGAGCCTCATCGTGCAGCATTAGTGAGAGTTACAGGGGCGAGAATGAGATCTTCAAAATCTTGTGCCTGACCAGAGTTGGAAGTCCAAGTCGTGAGCGATGCTTGGACTTCACGCCAGCAGGGGTCCTTCTCCGTCAAGCGCATTGCTCATCAAATACGGAAGCTCGGCAGCCAAGGCAAACCGGTCGGATTACATCATGATATTGGTGTTCGGGCCCGGCGATCTAGGCCTTATCTCCGGAGTACGCTTTTCCGAGCGCAGATTGTCGGAGGCTGCTACATTTCTCGTACTCACGTCCTGGGTAGCGATTTGCCTCTGACCAGAGCAAAACCAATACAGCGGTCCGAACTGCCCAACCGGGATCCTAGTATTTAAATCTGCTGCTCGCTGCCTGTTCTATACGGGTAGCATCAAGCCTATTTTTTATGATGTACTGTGATACACAGCTTGAACTTTCCAGACGATTACCAAAGTCTGAGGCAAGACATGCGAAGCTGAGATCTGTCGCAATGGAGATGCCCCTTTTCTCTTCGAGATCGGTCTAGGCTATGGCTTAGACAAATTGAATCGTTAAAGCAAAATTGAGACAGCGATTACTGGCATTCGACGGGTCATACTCAGTCATATCACAGGAAGTCGTGACAATTTAGAGCTGTATGAGCAGCCTCCGGCTCTCTTATAGATGAAGGATTCTCTGCCTCGAATCTAGAGTTCAGCAGTATACCATGGAACATAGTTGCAGCTGGAATAAGTTAGTAGCCACTGGCTGCTGCGGTCTGCCCGCCCTCCGCTCATCTATGAATCAAACGATGCAAACTAGTCCTCGTGGGTGAAGGCGGTGAGAAGCCGGACGGCGGGGTCCATTCCGCAGCGTCATTCCGTCATTCCTTATGAATCATTCTAAAAAAGACCATCTACAGCAAATTCGATTTCTCAGTGGGTTGACGATGGTTGCAGAATCTACGGTGGAAGACCTCTTGAAAAGGCCTCTATATGGTGTGTAAATTACTCCCTCTTGTACTCTTTATAACCCATATCGTTCGTTTTCGCAACGCGCTTGCTGACACACATGAAGTTTATGATCTACCGCAGGAGCTTCTCTCCACCTTAACTACGAAAGGCGGCGACCAAGCGCTCTCAATCCAGAATGGTGACGATGTGACACCTGAAAAGTCGAAAGAAGAGGTACTGGAACATGCGATCGCCACATCGAACAGCTGTCCCCTCTGCAAGGTCACGTACCTCAATGTGCAGGAGCAACGCGATCATGTGCGGTCGGACCATCACAAATACAATCTGAAAGTGCAGCTCAGGGGCGGTCCCACATTAGACGAGGTGCAATTTTCGAAGGCGATCGGGGAGCTCGACGAGTCGATATCTGGGTCCGAGTCATCGGAAGGGGAGAACGAGGAAGAGGAGACCCAGCTTACGGCCCTGCTGAAGAGACAGGCCAAGATATCTCAGGAAGCTCAGGAGGAAGAGGATTCGCTTTCAAACAAAAAGACCGCGGGTCGACCGCCGCTGTTCTGGCTTTCAAGCTCCGCACTGCCGTCGAACGTCTCGCTCGGTGTCTACAGGGCCTTGTTCTCGGATGTTGAGCAGGATGAGCCCCAGCACCTCGTCGCCTCCTTGCAGAAAAAGCAACTCGTGCCCATCAATGCACCCAGAAATGCTGCAGATGAGCAAGCGAAGCCACCTCCTCCCAGTCCTCATATCTTCATGTGCATGATTGGTGGTGGCCACTTCGCCGCAATGATTGTGTCACTGGCCCCCGAGATTCACCGGAGACAAGGTGGTATTGAGGATCGCCAGGCTCGGGTGATTGCCCACAAAACCTTCCATAGGTATACAACGAGAAGGAAGCAAGGTGGCTCGCAGTCTGCGAATGATGCCGCCAAGGGGGCCGCGCATTCCGCCGGTTCGAGCTTGAGACGATACAACGAAGCGGCGCTTGAGAAGGAAATTCGAGAATTGCTGTCTGAGTGGAAGCAATTGATTGACGAGGCGGAGCTGCTGTTCGTTCGGGCCACCGGGAGCACAAACAGGAGAATTCTGTTCGAGAAGTACGACGGCCAGATGTTGAGACAGAATGACCCAAGGCTTAGAGGATTCCCGTTCAGCACACGCCGGGCCACCCAAGCCGAGCTTATGCGGTGCTTTAAGGAGCTTACGCGGGTCAAAGTGAGCCAGGTAGACGAAGCCGCTCTTGCAGCTGCGGCGGCCAAAGCAAAGGAGGTGGCATCAAAGCCGTCAACACCACGGCCGCAGCAGCAGAAGCCCAAGATCTCGAAAGAGGAAGAGGAAGCCATACTCCACACAACACAGATTCAAGCGCTGATCCGGCGTTCCAAGATCCCCGCTCTGATGGCATACCTTTCGAAGAATTTCATCCCTTCATCCTTCACGTTCCGTCCCTCGGATTCCCAGCAAAACTTCCGCTGTCCAACGTCACTCCACTTGGCTGCCAACCTCAACTCGTCGGCCATGGTTCTAGCACTTCTGACCAAGGCCGATGCGGACCCGACGACCGTCAACTCCGAAGGAAGAACACCCTTTGAACTCGCAGGCGACCGTGCCACCCGCGACGCTTTCCGTATCGCTCGCCATGAGCTGGGCGAGTCGAAGTGGGACTGGACCGCCGCGAAGGTTCCGGCACCCATCTCCAAGGACGATGCGAGCAGCCGGCTGGAGCAGGAGCGGAAAAGCGCCGAGGAGGAGGAAGCCACCCGACGCAAGGCCGCGATGGCGCGCCTGCAGAAAGAGGAGGCCGCCCGCGCAGCCGAACAAGCCTCCAGAAAGCCGGTTGGCCGTACCCTGGGGGCTATCGAGAAAACGGCGCAGGAGAAGAGGGAGGAAGAGATGCGCGGGATGACGCCGGAGATGCGAATGCGACTGGAACGAGAGCGGCGCGCGCGAGCGGCTGAAGAGCGCTTCCGACGCATGCAGGGCGGCAATTAAGCCTCTGGGTAGAATTCTGCGACTTGACTTACTGTAGCGTTGCGAAGAGAGCATATGATACCTTGGTATGAATATAACGAATGATTATGCTTGTCCACGAGCATCTTCTCTGTCTTACGAGTGCAGTACTGTACACCACCGAAACCCCTGCAAACAACCAAACCCACCCTCTCCCAGCCCCATCCCAACCAACCCACCACCACCACCACACCACACCACACCCACTCACCACCACCATGATAACCATCACCACCTCTTCGCCAAAACCAGAACAACCGGCCACGAAAACGCCCTCTTCACCCCCATCCCCATCACCCCCTCCAACATCCTCCAAGCCCCCGCATCCTCGAACCCCTCCACCCCCTCAACCGGCACCAACGCCCCCACAAACCGCCTCAACTCCCGCACATCCCAATCCCTGCGCCACAGCTCACGATCCTCTACCTCCACTACCTTTTCCAGGCCCCACCGCACCCGACTCACGGGACTCTCAACCACAAACCCGCCGGCCCAGCCCGAAAAGAACCCCAACCGCGCCCACCCTCGATTCCACTTATATCTCTCGACGGCGCGCCACTCGCCCGCCGGAAAGGCAAGACAATCCAACCAGCTCGCCACGGCATCGGCCTCGCGCTTGAAGCCTGCGCGCTGCGCCGCGGGGCCGCGCTGGATGACGGCGCGGTACAGCCGGTCCACGATCCCGTCCAGCAGTGGCTGGCACTCGGCGGCGAGGGCGGGGTCGGAGAAGTGCGGGAGGCCGTAGAAGGCGATGGCGAGGGTTCCGGCGCCGTGGGGTTTGAGGACGGGGTGGATGCTCCGTAACGCGGCGGCGGGGGAGGGGAGGAGCGGGAACATGAGGGCGCTGATGATCAGGTCGGCGGAGGCTGGGGGGAAGGACGTGGCGAGGTGTTCGGCGCGGGTGAGGGTGTATGTGAATTGGCTTGGGGAAGTGGAACTGGAGCTGTGGAGGTTTCTGGCGTAGGTGAGGTGGCGGGGGTCGATGTCGCTGACGTTGACGTGGGGGAATCTGTGGGAGAGGGCGAGTGCGACGTGGCCGGGGCCGGCGCCGATGTCGTGGGCTACGGTGAAGGTTGGTGCTGTGGAGGAGGGTGAGGCTGATGCATGGTAGTCGTAGATCTGGTTGTAGAAGGAGGCGGGGTAGGTGGGACGCGTGAGGAGGTATTCGTTCCAGTAGTCGGTTGCGTCGATGTTTGGGGAGACTTCCCAGCTGCGGTGGTGCGAGATTGCAGTGAGGGTTCTTTGGGGCGGTTTTCGGAGGTTGGAAGCACTGGCTGGGGTGAGCTGGTGCTGGGGGTTGATTCCGCGGACAAGAAGCTGTGATCTATCCCGGATACGGTGCATTGTTGGGTATATGGCGTGTATGGATAGATTGGTGTATGTCTTTCTGCTTTTCAATGCAGGACTGAATCAACAGTTGAGACTGTAGACTCATAGCCCCTGTTTATAGCAACAGACGAGGGTATGAGAGTTTGCTACGCGAACCATGGATGATGCAGCTTCATTGCGAGTTTATGTCAAGCTGTCAAGCCACTTGTAGATCCATGCACTCGCCTATTTGGCGGCGGCCAAGCTACACGTGTTGACCATCGGCTCGGAACGAATGACATCAGCCCTTGTCTACGTTGAGTGTTGTCATGTTCGCATTGACTCTTACCTGGACCGGTAGGACGCCGACTGGGTTGAGGAGACACAAAAGTCAATTACTTCATGACTAGCATTAGGGCAAGGAGACCTGACCAGGTCCGTAGGATAGGACTCCGATAGGCTTTGAGCAATGAAGCAAGACAGTTCAAGCTATTTAGGTGGGTATCATCTACAGCAATGGTAAGCAGGGACCCCAATCAAAAACTTAGCCTCTGTGGCTTCGCCCGTTGTTTTTATTATGTAGTTCCTACTCATCCTTCATCTTCGCCTTCTCTTCCTCCTCCTCCTCCTCCTCCTCCTCCTCGATCACAGACAACGATGCAACAAAAGACGTGCGCGACGAGTCCGCATCAACAACCACCGGCGCTCCCCGTGATGAACACGATCGAGGCAGAAAGGCCACCGGAAAAGGAGCGACAGGGGCAAGATCCACCGCCGCCGCCGCATCATCCCCGGTGCCACTCGACTCATTCCCCGAAGTGGGCAAAGGCCCATGTGTCTTTGTCTTCCAGGGGGACATGCAAAACGCAGGACAGAACACAGCGCGTAAAAGCACGCAAAAGGGCTCTGTGGATAGAACAAACACAAACGTTTGGTTAGCCTCGACGGACAGCCCCGAAATCTCCCCAAGGTTGCCTTCGACAGGGATGAGATAGTAACCGACCTCCTTCGACGCAGCGAGATTCCTCAGCCCCTATGCGCTCCCTGTGTGCCTCAGGTGTGATCAGTTGGGACTGTTCGTGTGTTTGTATGAAAGGGGTGGAGCACGAACATTCACGTCGGTTGTTTTCAGCAAGATCGTGCCATCCGCGCTTGGTGAGGCTTATGATGGCGTGCGCACAGTAGAGAAAGACTAGCGAGACGATGTTGGCCACTGTAAGTATGCTTAGGGGGGAGTCAAATGTGCCCGCCGCTACAACGACGGCGACCTTCCTCGGGCGAGCTTGCATCTGACATGACTTGGGGGATCGGGGCCATCTTTCTTGCGGCTGGGGAGTAGAGGGAGAGGGGATGGCAGAGATATAGTTATGAATTCTAGTGGGATGTGATACTGGTTCGAAAAGTGCGTGGGTCTGGGAGATGTGGTCATATAGGAGAAGAGAAGAAAAAGGAGGAGGCGGAGGAGATATCTTGCGGGAGCATGACGAAGTGACTCAAAATCACAAAAGCATTCATCGGCCACCGGCCCTAATTATGATATCATGAATAGGTTATTGACACCGAACATAATATACGTGCAGCTCTCTCTTATAGTAGTAGAAACGCAGGGCAGTGCTGGACCTATCCAAGAGGCCCGATGGCATTACCACTGGTCAACCATACCTACCGAGCAAAGTATCGCGAGCGCCAAGACCATTTTACCTCTCATTTTAGTAGCTGAGCAATGTGACGCTATACAGGTCAAAGACCGAGTCTATGTCAGCCAACCATGACGACACTCAAACCCCAATCGGGGATATGTCTTTCGTGCAAGGGGAAAAGTACTCGATTACTGAGCGGCCGGTACACCATCTGCTGCTCACTCCCGAAAAGAAGGCGAAGCTGTGAAAAATTGAGTCCAACTGTCAAGATCACGTCATCGCTTCGACAACCATGACTCCGCATGTCATCTTTTCAACCAGAGTATATCGAACCCGCCGGGAGAGTGCCGTCCCTGCACAGCTTGAACTTACTACTCCACCACATCGATCCTCTATTACGCCTACGTATCTCTGTTGGGCCGAGCATTTCGATGCAGTACTCGAATATGGTACATGACTAGGGTGCACCCAGACCATTCGCGGTATCCAAGCCGAGGGCTGAAAGCCCTGACTGGAGTCCGACCCGGCACCGTGCAAAGGAAAATGTAGAATCGATGGCCATTCGATTTAGGCTAGCAAGCTAGGTACATCAACCTGAAGACAGGCTGACTCAAATAGATCTTAATGAGAGTTGGACGATTGAATCACCATGAACAAAAGAATGACGACAAACGATAGCACACCCTCAGCCTTCAACCCCCCGCCCCCGCTTCCAGAACCTCCACATACTAAGTCGAAACGAAACACATTCTACGCGAAGGTGCGTGTCAGCCAATGGAGTACCTCACAAATCCGCAGAACGTACCCAACTCGCCTCCAGCAGCATATCCCACCCCATTCGCGACCGACCAAAGCCCCCACCTCACAGGCATTCCATGGACGGAGTGCCCGCCCCACACTGACAGCCCGAGTGGCCCTCCTCGGCCATACAGACACACCCATCAGACAGGGCATCGGTGGTGCCGGTGTCGAATCCCACGCCGGAGCAGGAAGAGCCCGTGCAGCATTGGTTGAGCAGGGACTGGGCGTAGCCGTGGATGTAGGCGACATCGACCGCGTCTCCCTGGGGGAAGAAGGAGAAGGTGCAGGAGCCGGAGGTCCAGTAGGTATTGTCGTTGCCGCTGACGGTCCCGGAGGTGGGGATCAGGGCAAAGGCCGCGTAGCAGTCGGAGCTGGTTGCTTGCTCGCAGTCGCCGCAGGTGATGGTCGAGCCGGCAATAGCGGTGGTGGCCAGGGCGGCCAGGGTGAGGCAGGTTTGGGGGTTCATAGTTGATACAGTGTATGGAGTATAGTGTGTGGAGTGTATGCTTGAGTTTCGTGTGAAAGTCAGAGCTTTGAGGGAATCTGAGGTGGTTGGAATGGATGTTGGAGTTCTGGAGTTCGGTGAGGGTATTTATACTTCTATGCTGCTATACTGCTATACTGCTAACTGCTATACTACCCTACAGCCATACAGCCATACTGAATCTATCTTTCCGACGGACGACCGGCCAAACTAGCCATCCTTCACAGATGATTCAGCCTCCGAAGTACGGGGTTCTCCACCTCCCCAGCCCGTTGGTCGAGACGAAAACTAGAAACAGGTTATCCCCGGGGGGCCTTACTCCAAGGCATTGTCGGACATGGGATCTGGGCATTTGACATCATATCCCATGCATGGCAAGAAACAGTGTATACTTGCGCAGCCCCCGGGAGAAATGGGCGGATTTGACTGTACCTTGTCGAGCTCGATCAGATTTGTGGCCAAAGTGAGTTTCTAACAGCAAGAAAGCCTTCATTGAACCCAATCGGCTACGAAAAAGCACAATTGACAATTGCTATAGATACTAATACATACAAGAAAGAACCCCAAGCATCGCAGCAGTATGCAACCCGGGACCCGACCCTAGAACCCTATATAAGCCTTCAATATTAAGCTTAAAGCCGCACACTAAAGCAAACTAAGTTTCCTCAGCAAATCAAGCTAACCGAAGGACAGCCCCACAAGTTCCTCCCAGCCTATAAGAGCCTGTATACAGAAGTCGCCGCGGTGGATAAGCAAGCCCCTGCGTGCAGACGGCGGCTTATCATGAATCTGTTCGGCCATCTCCCCTTCGGACGACAAAGCCTAAGGTAGGCCGGATTAGTCGAGCAACCCAATCATATCTCTCTGTTGCAGAATAGGTCTCTCTATCCACAACCAAGGCCGCATCAGATTACCCTCAGTTTTCAGGTTTTGGAGAGGCTGAGCAAGCATATCCGGCACGTCCCGGGCTTTAAGAATTCAGGGATCTTCGGCAAACCTGCCATGGCAGGCTCAGGGCAAACCCTTCAGCATCCGAGGCCAGTAGTAGCTACTATACTTTTGAGTGCACAGCCGTAAAGACGTAAATAATGACAAGATTGACGATTGAAATGGTTTCGGTCCTTGCTCTTGAATAGGCGCGTGAAAAAGGCAAAGGCTTATGCAACGAGCTGGTCTGCTTTGATCCCAGAGGTGGAGTGGTTATAAAAGCTGTAAAGGTTGGTCCATAAGACTTTTTGATAAATTCCGAAAGGCTTGAGAGATATGAAAAGTACAGGAGAGATGAAAACTAGGACGACGAGGAAGATGGAAGACCTCCTGCCTCCAGAAAGAAGTCATCCGCCGCTCCTACCTTGTCAGCGGGTATGCAGTTGTTGTTTTTTTGGCGACAGACAGTGAACATTCTGCTTGCAGTTTAATGTATCTACACAGAGATCAATGTACTTACACAAAGTAACATATTCATAGAGAGATCTCATCTGTGAAGCGCTAGCTTCGCAATTCTACAAGGGCTCTCTTCGATTCGATCCAACGGAACTTATTCAGGTTTCCTTTACTCAATTGAGGCTGCTTGGTACGGCCTAGGGCTAGTTATGCGGGTGCTTAGAGAGAGATACTTGAAAATCTACAAGGGTACATAGAAGTCATTAATAATATATGTATAAAATTATTCAGACAGATATCCAAATAGGTAGCTCAAAAAAGTACTTTAAAAAGGTGTAAGGGACCTGCTGGGCTACTAAGTGCGCCTCCACAACGCCTCTGTCCAGTCAAAGTCATCTGCAGACAGGCCCTCGGATCTATAATCTAAGTCTATATCCCGGATGTGCAGAAGTTACAGAGAAACATAAGTCAATAGAACAGGCGTCGACCGTAGCGGGGGATGGTGCGCAATGACCTCGAAAACAACAACACCACCAACGGCAGCGCGGCCCGTCACAACCCCCCGCTGGCCTTCCGGTTGGCCTTGGCCTGCATCCGCCGCATGGCCTCCCGATGCAACTCACTCATGTCGCCGCCGCGCGGCGGGCCTTCCCCTGCAGCGGCAGCGGTGTGGCGGTGGTGGACCAACGAACTGTGCCGCTGCAGCGACTGGACGTAGGGGGGCGGGCTGCGATCGACTCCCGTGGCCATGCCTACGGGCCCATCCGGCTGTTTTGCGAGGGGGTCCCGTTTGTCCCTCAGATCCTCCAGGATCGATTCGCGCCAGGCCGCCATCGCAGCCGGCATGTTGCTGGAGGATTGGCCATTGCTGGGGTGTCTTCTGGGTACTGCTGGTGGGCTGGGGATATGTGCTTGCGGTGGACTTTGAATTGTCTGCTGGTGTAGCAATGTGCGGCGCTGAGACAGTGGCATGTTGTCACCCGTCTCTTCGAGGTTGGGGCCGGCGAACGAGTACCGTGGTGGTTGGCTGTCGAGCGGCGCTTGCCAGGAGCCGGAGCTGTTCCGCGAGAAGGGATCGAAGTTCAGCGAGAAGGACGACAAGCGGTTGCGCATCATGTCCTCCCGCACGGCTATGAGCGGAGGCGGTCCTCTCCACCGTGGCTTGGGAGGCTCAGGCTCGTCTCTGAGCTGTTCCGCCCCGACAGCATTGCCCAGGTGCAACGGGTCGGTTGGGGGAGGCGATGGCTTCTTCTTGGACCGGCTTGGGTGAAGACCCTGGTGCAGATATGGGTCCCCTGAAATTCGGTGACTCTTAGATCTGGATAGGTCTTTGACCTTGCGTTCTACAGCCGGAGGCGGCTGAGCATTCAGCGGCGTCTGCAATAGCTCCTCCACGTTGACCGGTGCTGCGACTTCCTCTACTTCGGGGACAACTTCGGGCTCCTTCTCTTCCACAGGCTTGATCGGTTCGAGCTCGGGCATTTCTGCATCAGCGAGGTGTTTCGCCCACTCATTAGTGCGATAGGATTGAACCACTTTGGATGTCTGCTTTGGCAGGTGTTTCACAGTTTTCTCATCGAGCTTGGGAGGTTCTGAAGGTTCCACGGGCTCTTCTTTCTTAGATTTCGATTCGGTCTCGTTGGGACGAGTTGATGCCGTGCTTTTGCTATGGGTAGTGCCCGGGGTCTCATTCTTGTCCGATGTTGATTGGTGTGGCTGATTTAATGCGCTTCCTGGAGCTCCTTCCTTGTCATTTGTAATAGGTCGTTCGGGCCTGTTCTCCTCCGTTGGAAGGGGCGCGCAAGATTGCTGTCTCTGTGACGCCTTCGACTTTTTCTTTGATGACTTTTTCCCCTTCTTGCGTTTTGTGTTCTCTGCTTTTGGTTGAGAGGCTACAGACGTTTCGGTCTCTTTGCCCTCTTTCCCCTCCTTTGCTGGTTTCTGCTGATGTTTGTCAAGTACCTGCTTTTGCTCGGCGATGGCCTCTAAACTTTGTCCTGAAGGAGGGCTCTTTTCACCTTGCTCTGCCTCCGGATGTGTCTCTGATACAATATCCTGTGGTTTCTCTTCCGTTGTTTCGGTCGTAGCCGCTGGCGGCTGCTTTTGGTCATCCTTGTGCTCGGGTTGATCACCCTGTTCATTTGAGGACTCAATCTTTGGTACTGTCTCAATTGCCTGCGGTTCGTGCTTGACCTCCACAGGTTTGTCTTTTCCTTTCTCATCCTGTAAAGTATTGCCGTCACACTCTTCGGCTTCGGTAGGCTCCTTGTTCTCCGGTTTTGTGCTATCTTTTGCATCATCATCATCCTCATCTCCCGCGGGTGTAGTTTGACTCTCCTCGGCAGCCCGATCGTTGCCGACATCCGGGATATCATTGGAAGATGGAGCAGTACCATCAACCGAAACAAGCGCCTCCTTCGACTCCGAGTGAAGAAGTCCATTACCACCAGCTTCCTCGGCCTTTTCCACCAGCGAAGCCCTCGACATCCGTCTCGAGCGCACCGATCCCGCCTCTGACCCAATAAGAGCAGTGACATCGGAGCTCCTATCATCCTTCATGCGGGCCGCGGCCGCGCCATCGAACACCTTGAGCGGCACGGCACCGCTATCTCCACCCGCGCCCTCTGGCTGTCCATCCCGACTGCCTGCGCTAGCGTCCGACGTATGGGAATCGGTATCGCTATCCTCGCCGCGCTCCCTGCAGTCTGAGCATCGATATGAGCTGTAAGACGACTCCGAGATACTTCGGACCTCGATGGCATCGCCCTTCTCCATGGCATCCATCTCGTCGATTGGCCGCTTGGAGTCCCCAGATAGCTCAGGGGTGCTTGACAACGGAGCGCCATCCCCGTACGTGGCCTCCCACTCCTTCCGCTCCTGCATATTATCCTCTTCTAGTCGACGGCCAACCTCGGCCTCGGCCTCTTCGTGGTGCTGTCGCTCCTGATCGCGCTTTTCTTTCTCCTTCTGGCGACGTTCGCGGACCACTTTCCACAGTCGAAGCTGGGAGACTACACCCAAAATGGCGACGATGACGGTGACGGCGAGTTCAACGCGGATGTTGCGCGTGACCGGGTAGGTGCTGGTGCCTAACGGGAAGATGTCGCTGTTGAGATCTAGAAGGGTGAGAACAAATTGTCAGCATCTCAATGCTTTACACTCCATACTCTGTCCCACCCTGTTTCTAGCAACTCAATCGAAAACTCACCCCAGATGTAGAGCCAAAACTCCTTCAATCCCGCGCGGCTAAAGCAATCAATCCCTAGCGCCACGGCGGTACCGCCAGATATCCCTGTAGATGCCATCAACCCGTACGGACGGGTGTATTGACTGAAGGACATCGCGTAGAAGGCAGCCGACATGGCCCCGATAAATCCGCTCTTGGCGTTGGTGTCCGTCAGGAGGCCTCCCGACTTCAGCGAGAGAAGCCACATACTAGTGCAGAAGCCACCTAAAAGGCAGCCAAGACCCTCCGTCAGCTCCTTGAAGACGATAGCTAGCGCCCCAAAGGTTGCGCCGGTAAAGACGATAGCGACCAGGTATGCGCCCTGGACGGCGACTCGCACTGGCGGACTCATCACGTAGACAATGAGGACCTGTGAAAAGGTAAATAGTTAGAAATGTAGAGCCATGTATATGTCGTGAGTAGTTCCTTGAGAACATACAGTAACACCAAGACTGGTCAAGAATGCCGTGGATAAGAAGACTTGAATCCTGGAAGTGAGGGGTCAGTTGTCTGTATGTGTGGCTTAAACTGCGCTATCGACTCCGGCAATGACCAACCAAAGATTTTGAATCCCGATCAATGCGAGGACAGCTCCGGCAGCAAGAAGGATAAAGCCACCGATACCCAGAGCCGGGGTGACTTCGGGTTGCAATGGAAGATCATTCGGATTGGTGGGCGCCTTGTTGTCTGTCTCACGCAGTCAGTTCAGCTTGCCACGGCCCGATAAAATTCAACGCGGCGACTGCAATCTCGGAGAGAAAAGACCTACCATCGTTTGTCACAGATGAATTTAACGAGGTAAGAGTTGTGGAGGCTGGAATGGTGGCATTGGTCGTCCTCGTCGCGTTCCTTGCCACATCTGTCGCATGGCTAATTGCACTTGTCGTCGTGCTGTCATCAATGGCTTGCGTGGTGCTGCTGGGAGGAGGCTCATCTCTGTTAGTGATGAGGCCATTGAAGACTTCGCGTGGGGTGTGCGGGATTTGTGCTGAGACAACGAAGAATAGACTTGGCACAAAGTAAACGGCCAGCGTTAGCAGGAAGAAGCGCATGGCGGGTGGCTTGGATGAATCGATGAGACTCAAATGTGATTCAAGATCCAACAGACGGCCAATGGGGATATTATCTGGTCCAAATTGATTTGTGGCCCTCTAAGGGAATGCCAGCCAATGTCCGGGAGATGCGATCGAGCTGCCTGGCGGTTGCTATTCACATAACTGTCATGTAGGTCGCCGACAGCTGGAAAGGCAGCGTGGTTACCTGTCAGGGTTGACTGGAGACACGCAAGTAGGTCCGAGAAACGTGTCGGTAGACTCTGAGACAAGGTGGTCGCTTACATATAATCTCAATTGCCACTATCTACTATATGTATCCTTTGGCGGAGACGGAAAGGTATAAACGCGAAGGCTTGGACCTAGCATATCTGCACGGGACTTGGAGGAACGCCGTCATTGATTCGAGCTCAACCCTAGTCAGATAGTCGAGCACGCCTTCATCCAGAGCTCCAGAAGAAAAATAGACTAAGTGCACGGCAGACGCGAGATGGCCCACTTTTTGGAGTTTGGAGGGCGAAAAAGGCAAAGTAGTCGCATGGTCGTACATGATAATTGAAATTATTTGGCAAGGATCCGCCCCCTGGTGTTCATCATCTGAAATCTTTCCGGGAGTAGATCGTGCGAGACATGATAACGGCAGGCAGTCCAGTCGACAAACGAATCCAAAGGAAGACACACAAGAGGCACGCCCAAGGGATATTTTGAATTCCTAGGCTAAATTCATGGCCAATTGATGATGGTACACCATTTTCGACTGGTTCATTCAGTCTTTGTCCGCAAAAAAAAAGTTTTGGAGGAGGCTTGCTAGCCTCGGCGCCATAACATGCCATATACGAGAGGAGCGGCCTGGTTTGTTTCAATGGATCCGATGAGCCCAACGATTGGCTTCGCTTTGGAGAATTATGACCTGTTGCGCGAGAAAGATACCTAGCGTTGTCCGCGTCTCTTGTGGCCTTCTCCGGGCTAAATTAGGATTCTGATAATTAGCGCTAGACGGTCCCATGTCGTACGGAAGAAAGAAGGATCTGGGGAGCTGATCAACTTCATCCGTCACTGATAGAGAATGACAAGCCCACTAGCCGCTAGTGGTTAGGCTGTCCGTGTGATCGGCTGCAAGAAGCGACATATCTAATTTCCTTCGCCAGGCGTACAGCCTATCAGGCTGGAGCACCTCAGAGAACAATGCTCATTGGGACTGCAACACCAGTCTCAAGGCGCGCCGTCAGTGGACGATGGGTTTGCGGCTAATATCCGACGCTGAGTTTGACTCCCAGGGGTTTCCCGCGACTATCGAACCCTTTGAGCCATACAGGGCTACAGACAACCTGGAAGGCAGTGTGGAGGCAGGCGGGTTCGACCCGATGGCTATGCCGAGGTGCAGGCTGAGGTGCACAGTACCTAGGCATGACGAACGCGGGTTGATCGATCGTCCCCAAGCTCCAGCGGTGTCGCAACCTGCATCGCCTGGCCGTACCAGCAGGGAGTCTATCAGGCGGAAGCTTTCGCGGAAGCGCTGGGTTGTCAATTTTCGGTCAAGCACGCATCAATAGAAGTATGCAGGATAAGTGCGGTGAGAAGGCTGAGTGACCGGCTAGTCTTGAAGAGAATGCATCCCTCTAGTAAGCGAGGGTTGGATGTATGCCTTGCTGTTTCCTTGGATGGAGCTGGGATCTGACGTCTCACAAGCGGACGCTGCACGGAAAGTGGACTATCTCATGACCGACCGTCTGGCACGGCAAAGAATTTCCACGCTTTGGAAAAAAAAAAGTTTCTTACTTCTCAAAGTCTATGAATGATATATGCATGCACGACCGCATATTTGGTAGAAAATGGAAATGGACTGAGTCTAGCCAGTGCAACCGGTGTGGAATTGACGATGATGGCGTTGATGAGGGGGATGGAGTATACTACGGAGTGCGGGAGAGGAAGACTATCAAGGGACAAAGCAGATCACGTGCCGGAACCAAAACACGGCACTGTGCGGAGATAGTACGAGGGATAGCGATTCTGCTGCTGCTGCTGCTGCTGCCGTCGTCCCCGTCAACAATCCCCCCCTCATCACATCACGTCTCAAACACAACATTGCGCCCTAAAGCAAATCTCGATCTTGACCACATTCACATCTCCCTCTCCGTATACAACACACACATCATGTCTGCCTTCCTGTCTTCGCTGCGTCCTGCCATGCGCGCCACCTCCGGCGCCGCACAGGCTGCGCGTTCCTTCAGCTCCTCCTCGTCGCGCTCCGTCGCGAAGATGTTCATCACCGGCCGTCTTGCGACCGAGCCCGAGTTGCAAGTCACCGCCTCCGGCACGGAGATTGTCAAGTACTCTGTTGCCACGCAATACTACTCCAAGGGCGAGAAGCCGACGAGCTACTTTAAGGTCTCGGTCTTCCCCGAAGGCGGCCAGAAGGATTTCATCCTCGGCCTGCCCAAGGGGTGAGTGTCCTATTCCTTCCCCGAGAGAGAGACCATAAGCCTAGGCGAAACGCGCGCTGCAGCTCCTGCAATTCGCCAGCTCTCTGTACAGCTAGCTAGGCAGAATGAAGACTGACTTCGCATACCCTATCTAGAACTCTTGTTTTCGTCGAAGGAGATTGCGCCATGCGCACATATGAAGACGGCAACGGCAACAAGCGATCGTCGCTGAACATCCTTCAACGTGAGCCCCTCGCCCCTCGAACCCAACCCTCTTAAACCTCACCCTCCCTCCAACCCAATCACCTCCACATCAGAAGACTAACAACTCATTTCCCATAGGCACTCTTGAGGTCCTGAGACGCCCTTACATTCCCACCGAGTCCGCCGAGGGCGACGAGCAGGGCACCAACTAAGCCAGAGTCCACACTATGCACAATATTCCTGCAGGGCGCGGGCACTCCGTCGACGCAAACCAAGAAAACACCACACCCCACTCTGGATTCAATATCCGCTGCACAACGAAATAGGACAGATAGTTCTTTGCGAGGACCCATTGCCCTTCCCGTTGTGGGAGGAGTAGGATCGCGTATTTCTTGGAGATCAGGCCTTGGATCCATGTCGGTAGAACGGATATGTTGCTTGCTGGTCGACATTCTTTATGTCTCTCCCTGTCCATTTCTCTCTCTCTCTCTGCCCGCTATACCCGGTCGTTGACATGACTGTATGTCTGTGGGTTCCGCCTATGTCTGCCTGTTTTTTTAAGGTTACAGCCATGCATCCCCCATTTGTACTTATAGCGCGATATAAATAAAGTTGGAGACCAGTACGCTGTTCTTCCGGGAGGTAGCGGTTCTTGCTGAAGGATCTATATATATCAATCTGCGGTCTGAAACTTTAGCATGCGATGGATCTACCGCATGTGTTGCGTCAGCATTGCTGATGGTTCTGCAACTGCATGTATAACTTACCATCTTTGTAGATCTTGGCAGGAAGCGTGGATCCCGTCCTCCCCGTGCTCCGTAAGCATGGCTTTAGTGATGCTCGGGCTGGGCTTGCATGGTAAACTCTCTTGCGCATCTCCAGTGAGTTGTTCATGCATTACGGCCGAGAGTCTCACCCGGTTGCTCCCGGTCACTCCGTGGTCTATTGGCTCAGGAGCCGAGGATCAGCTGGTTACTGAGGAGTTTGGCTGTCGCTGTGAGAACAAAGGCTTGGAATGAACAGTCTAAGGCAGGCGAGGTTTACGTAGCCCATTGACAGTAGAGGGTACGAATTGAAGACGTCTCTGATTACCATAAGTTCAGCTCGCAAAGCCACCAACCACCATCCAGCTATTAGAACGCCTTGACATAAGGCTCAAGTAATGTAGAAAACGTAGAGAATAAGAGATTGGGCCCTTAATCTACCCTGCCATTTGCCGCACAGATTCGTCTATCACCCTCTTCCCTCCCTGGAATCACATCATCCTAAGCATACATCTCGCTCTGTTGGGTGATGACCTGCTTGAATCGAATGTGCTCGTCCTTGAGCGGTGGGCTTCCAAGGTCGCTACTGTTCCGGCTTCGGCTCACGCCCGCCCAGGCATTGGTCGAGACTGTGTTGGCAGTTGTCTCGGCCAAGTGGTGGAGGGGGAACATCCTATCTCTGTTAGGAGACCCTTTGAGTCGCCACACACGCTTGTACCATGGAGTGCGCGCGGGTTGCTTGCTCTGAGGCGTGACCCCTTTTTCAACGTCTTGGGTGTCGTGACCTATGGGTTGCGGGTGCATGGTGTTGTTGACATTTGTTCTATGAAAGTTAGGGCTGGGGCTGGCTCCATACTCTGCTGTAGGGGGGCTTACCTGGTTGCGGATGTCCATTTCCAGTTAAAGAGCAGCTTCGCCCGGCTACTAGTTGAGCCGGTCGAGTCGGCCGAGGTGGTGCCTGAGGAAGTTCGTAGGCAGGTGAAGCAGTGGTGCATACCCAGGAAAACTAGGATTGCGCGGTACATCTTCGTGGCATCACGACCGCTGCCAAAGAAAATGAAGAACATGAAGCCCGATGCGGCTGGAATCCAGCGGTCGAAGTATACCTCGCCCATCGTGGGGACTTTGATGATCACGTTCCAGGTGGGAGGATGGGCACGATCCCAGGAGTACGCATGCCACGGGAGGGTACGCAGGATGTTGGTACACACGACGAAGGTCTGGACAGGGATAATGGCCAAGAGCATAAGAAAGGCGAGCAAGAAAAGCCGCACGAATCGAGATTTGTTCATGTTGCTGTTCGAGGATTGGAGTATGTCTCCGAACTGACTTCGATACTTGCTGAGACGATACAGAACGATCACTGACAGCGTTAGAACTTGATGTGTAAATGGTGAATGAATCAGCTAACATACCGCAGTAGTAGCCAGCGATCAGACAAATGATCAGCGGCCAGATATAGGCCAGGACCAGGGTCACCCAGGTTTCATCGTAGCTGTTAACACAACCAGAAATAGCAAAAAGAAAGTAACGGCCCCCCTGATAGATGATCTGCGTGATCGTTGCGATTGCGGGGGCTATGAAGCAGAACAGAAGGGTCATTCCACGATTCCACCACCGCTGCGACTTGGTAGGGACTAAAGCCGCACGCCTGGTGTCCAGCACGCAGGCCAAACCGCGAAAGATACAAACGAGCGTCCCAGGAACGGCAATGTAACTCGCAATCATAATCTTGCCCTCAAAATCACATAGCCCCTTACCGTCCCACCAAGAACTCACGTCATCGGTAGGCCAGAGTATGGCATTGATTATGTTGAAGACGTTGAGAATCATGTAACAGCAGATCAGGCTACTGGCAGCCACGTTGCGGTTGTTCCAGTGCAGCACCAGTGGCACCACGCTCAACAAAATAGAAACGAAGGATATAACTGGAAGGAGTACTGCTTGCATATAGAGCGGATAGACCGGAGCTGCTTGAGCACTCATCGTGCGAACTGGGTGACACTAGTTGCGTAGGAGGAGATCTCGATAGAGTACGGCAGACTTGAAGCTATCCAGCTGCCTTTCTGCTTGGTATGGATGCGTGAGAGAATGATTATGGGCTCTTGACTGGAGTATGAACGAAGGAGGATGGTTCTGGGTCATCGTATCGGGTGCAGCAACATCATATAGACCATATGTCCCTTGATCTCCTGAATAAGGAGTAACAGCAATGTCTTATTGACGGAGCCCAGAAATAGACAGGTACGAGAGCATCAGAGCCTTCACTGAGGGTCTAATTGAGACATTCTCTTGCCAATCGCCGAGGGGGTACAGAATCAGAGACTTGCAAAATGAGCCGGCAAGTGTTGTGACCAGGCTATAGACGCCGCTGCGGCCAATCAAACGGACCATTTGGGTAACAGCCATTTCCACTAAGTCTCAAGAAATGAGTCAATACATCGATCCTCGCTTGATAGTCTGAATAAGGGGGGGTATGAGAACACAATTGCAGTCATAGAATGGGGCAGTGGAGGAGGAGTTCAGGTTGACAGCCACCTGGCAGGATAGACGCATAGCTCCGTCTTCTCTGCGCCGACCTTTCCTAATTCGGGTCTCAAAAGACTCAGTCAGTCACCTCCACAGCTCGCCTCATTCCTGCTGTGTTCCATCTATTACACTCTCTATCTCAACAGGCTCTGTTTCATGCACTCGGTTGCTATTTTCAGCTACGACTGTGTCAAATGACTATTTTCCATCGGGGATGCATCATGCATCTAGTCGGACTGAACTTCGTGGCCCCAAGCTACCAAAAATCACCTGCTAGGTCTTGTATACAGTACAAGAGCTCTCGCTGGTGGTACACTATCTCGGCGATATGCCAGCCCATGTCGGACTTTGTCGACTGCAGATTAGCTCAAAAGTGCTTGTGACAAAGAAATCACAAAGTACTTTGTTACCCCTGCCTGAGCTTAAATCGAGCTTATAATCACAGTTCCAAAGACGGCGGAGGTAGTTCAACTTCTTCTATGTGTCTGCTTTTCACCGAACAAACAGTCTCAAACACCCAAAGTGGGTTTGTCATCCTTGCGCGCATACTTTGGCTAATTGCTCTTTGATGAAGGGTCGTACAATCACTAATGACGACCCGTCCACGGTGCCAGATCGGATTGCCTAGCATGGATTAGCATAGAATAGGATGTCGACTCGCTAGTAGCGCCGATATGCTCACCCTTGAAAGAAATCCGAATGCTTGGTTCTCGAATCGATACTTCTAGTTGCAGTCGCTCCGCTCAAAGTCGACTCCGCAGTCGGTAGTGTGGCAACAAGCTAATTATCATTCTCGTTGGCCATCATTGACAGTAATTGCTCAACTTGGTTGAGAGTGCCAGTGTCGCGGTAGGCACTTCTCGCGGTTCCCCTCCTCGCTTTGTTGTTATTTCATCTTGATCTCCTGACATCGTGGTTCTGAAGATTCTCGTTCTCAATTGAGGCCGTCCTCCATGTCAGCAACTCCAGCTTCAACATATTGTCGATGTGATCCGGGGAGCCATGCAGGTTTAAATCGATAATTTTTGATACTCGCTGCGAATCCTCAAGTAGTTCCGATAGCTGGTGTCTGTCTGTACACCGACATGCTTGAGGATCTCGAAGCGCTGCGCTATATCTGCGCCATATCTGCGCCTGGTCCAACAAGTTTGCCAACATACGAATCTTTATTGTTTATCTACAGTCTGAATGGCATAGTTCCCTTGCTTGGAAGGATTGTCTTTGTGTCTGATTTCGGAATGCGGGGTCTTTATCAATGCCTTTCCACCAACTCGTTCGGTTAGCTTCTATCGAATGTGACGGACAACATGAATGATCCCAACATACCCTACGCCATTCCTACTATTTGCTGGTCACTATCATGCCTCACTCAGCTAATTATATCTGTTGGCATCTGCTCAGCAAAATGGTTTGTGCCCATGCTCTAATCTCTTGTTTTGTGAGTCTTTTCTCCCTACCTTCACACAGGTGGAGCCCTGCGTCATGGCTAAGTAACTAAGACTTAAGCCTATAGGGACTAGTGCCCGCCCCCGGGCAGGCAGTGATCGATGATCGATTCGGGGTTCGAGCCAAGGCTGCTTTAGCGTCGTACAAGCAAGATACTCGATCTGCGTGGCTCTCGTCTCCTCCCTTCCTTTCTCCCTCCCCGTCACTCTTTCTCCTCTTTCCCCCTCTGCTTTTCTTTCTCTTCGACTTCCCAGCCTTTTGAAACTTCTATTGCACCGCTCACTTCGACAGTGCGATGTCTGACCGACCTGGCCCATCGCGGTCATCCCACACACAAGACCAGGGCTACAGCAGTCCTCGCGTGCTCTCCCCGGATTTCACTAACCTTCGCCACCGCGGTCCAGCCCGCTCTGCAACCTTTGCAGAGGGCACGACCTCCAACCTGCAAACCCAGCGGCGTAATTCCACATTATCCGACTCGGTCTCAGAGGCTCGCCATTCGATTCGGTCCTCCACGGATGATATACTTTTTCCACGTGTGGCCAAGGGAGGTGACGTCGACCTGACAAATGAAGAATCGCATTGGCACTCGGCTCCCTTGGGTTTGGCTTTACTGCCTGCCATTGCCGGGATCTTTTTCCAGAACGGGAGTGCCGTCGTTACCGACATCACCCTTCTTGTTCTCGCCGCCATCTTTCTGAACTGGTCGGTTCGATTGCCATGGTAATTACACAGCCTTTTCTGCTAGCATGGTGCATCATTTTGATTGAAAGCAACAGGGATTGGTATCGTTCCGCACAAGCTGTCCGACAGTCTAGCGACAAATACTTCGAGGCTACTGAGTTTCCATTAAGCCCAGAGCCGAATGACAGCCCCGACTCGGGTGATAAATCCTCGTCACCGATTGCCCAGGAACAGCACCGCTCCAGCAATGTTACTGCAGCCACGAAAGAGCTACAGATCCACGAGCTCGCCGCTTTGGCCTCTTGTTTCATCTTTCCATTGATTGGGACGTGGCTTTTGCACACTATTCGATCGAAGCTCTCTCGCCCCTCGGAAGGTCTAGTCTCCAACTACAATTTGACCATCTTCCTCCTTGCCTCGGAGATCCGGCCCTTTTCGCATCTCCTAAAGATGGTTCAAGCACGTACCCTGCATCTTCAACGCATCGTCGCATTGTCCACGGAAGACGAGGTTGACAAAGTCGATGTCCACAAAGTCCTCGACCTGACCAAACGCCTAGAAGAGCTCGAAGCTCACGTTGCCGAGACAGCCGCTGCACGACTCTCGCCGGACCCTGCAGCACGTGCCGGGCAGCCTTCGCAGAGCGATAGCACTCATGCCCTCGTCGACCAGGCTACCGCCGAGATGCGCAAGAGCATTCAATGGGACATTGACGCGTTGAACCGCGCTGTGCGTCGCTACGAGAAACGCACCACCGTCTCCGCATACCAGACAGAGACGCGGTTCCAGGCCTTGGAGACCCGCGTGCACGACGCATTCTCCCTGGCGGCTGCCGCCCATCGTGGCAAGCCCCAGGGGCTGATAAATATGCTTACTGGGTGGGTGTATACGGCCATTACCCTCCCTGGACAAGTCATCATGGGTATAGTCACTCTCCCGATGCAGGTGGCCCGGCGTTGCCTGCGGTACTGCGGGGAGAAGGTGCTGACGAGACCGACCGGATCCACCACACCGCACAAGGGCAAAGTACCTAGGGAGCGCAAGTCGCAGGTCTCAAAGGGAACGAGACGTCCTGCGCCGCAGAACCACCCGGTCGACACACGGACGCTCGACTCAATTAAGGAATATAAATAAATAATTCAGGTAGGTGCATTTTGGAAGCCTACGGCGATTTTCTTGGCGGTCATGGCGAAGAAAGAAAGATCATATATCTCCTGGAATACTATTCTTTTCAGCGTTTACTTCGCATCAACTCCTTCATTCCTGATTTTCAGACTCGATTGAAGGGTCTCGGAACAGCACGCGTGAGAATCCTCGGTAGTAGAAAAGACGTATGCAAAACCTACTTGGTTTTCAATCGTCTTACCCACGCCTTTCCAACACATCCACCACTACATGTGATGAAGTATATAGCGGTGTACTGTATAAATACCATACAAGAAAATAGGAAATCTGTAATAGCCAGAAAGAAGCAGCATGACAAGAGAGAGACAAAAGCCCCGCCCGTTTGCCTTCTCTGCATGTACACTTAACTCCAAGAGAGGGAAAAATTCAGGCCGAACTCCCATGCATCTCATTGCGATATGCTTCTCCCCGGCATTGATTGATAAGTCCAGCTTCTTGGCCACTTACCAAGAACGGCAAGATGGCCGAGTGGTCTAAGGCGCTGCACTCAAGGACCCCATCCTTCTTCGGATCTCCAAATCCGAGGAGCATTGCAGTCACGCAAGTGGCGTGGGTTCGAATCCCACTCTTGTCACTACTTTTGATTTTTTGTTCCTTAGTGAGCGAGAGGATAACCGTCTTTACGTCTGCCCACCTGTTTCGAAAATTTATGGTTCATATCATATCATATCAACGCCCGACTAGACGGACGTAGACGGCTTGTCAACCACGGAAAGAAGCAGACATGTAAGTAACCCTCCACGCTGAAACCTATTGGATCGCCCGGGCAGGTGGGTTACTGCGTACTCGCGAGCAATTTCATTGTTTGGCTACACACCTCTTGAGCGCAGTATATACAATTACGAGTGGTTATGACAATCACCATGTCAATGGGAGGGATCCTATACACCCGTCATCAGACACTCTGCTTGTCATCGACCTCCCTGGTGGGTATTCCGGGAAGTAAACAATGGTAGGCCCCGGGCCGCACAGGAAGCCAGTGACGAGATGAATATAGTCCCCTGCCTATCCTTATCTGCTGAAGAGTGAGCTTATACTTGGTCTTGACTCTAAGCATGATCTCGGTGGCTAGCTGCTCCTACAAGGGCGTACAGACTCGCCTATATTCCCCGACCCTCCGATTCGCAGGCAGGATATCCTACTTCCCTCGCATCCACGACCCTGGATCTTCCAACCCAATACAGCTACACACGTAAACGGGCCGACCACCTCTGCCTCTTGCAGTGATCTCTGCAGGGTAAGATAGCGGTGTACCTCTCTCTAATAGCTCTGCTCCGGTACGGGGCGTCTCTCTCGCTCACGCATTTCCGAGGATTATGCGGCCTAATCCGGAACATAGCACATATATCCCTCCAGCCGCCAATACACCCAACATACGACAGCTGCCATCGATGCAGACAGATCACCCGTATAGCGTAAACCGAGAGAGAGTTCTCGTGCTATGGCCTGCTGCCGCCCCCCACCACCACTATATCCTAACAACATGCAAATCACGAAACATTGTAGCTGTATGTACAGCAACACGAGCATGAGTACGCACACGCCGGCGACACAAGGTACAAGCGAGGCTGATCCGATCTGATAGACGTGGCACGGACGCGTGCTTTTGTGCTTGCGCGCGGACGCGGGCGCGGCGAGACAGGCGCGGGTGGAGTGTCCGAGATCTGCATCCCCCTTGCATGATGTCTACAGATTCTTGGAAGAGGGGTGGATGCGGAGGTTGGGAGAACTTACCTGGGTTGAGTCTGGGTCTTTTTTCTTGGTCTTGGTGTAGGGGTAGGGTGTGTGTATGAGGTAAGAAGTTGGGGAAGGGAGAGAGGGAGTCCCGAGGGGGATGGTCGAGTTGATATCGTGGGGATTGAAGGGAAGGAAGGGGCCAGTGGTCTTGATTCTGGCTGTAGTGGTGAGTTGTTGGGATAGGTAGGGCTGGAGCTATAGTTCTGATACACTTGGGGAAGGGAAGAGGGATTCCTGGGATTGCATAGTTGGCTGTGTGAATAGAGTGGTAAGGATCGGTTAGGGCTTCGGTATGGGGGTTGCTGGATGCGCTGCGTGGTGAGAGCGATAGAGTTAGATGTCAGTTTGTGTTTTTGCGCGTTTGATAGAGTTGGAAAGGCACGGTGCTGCTGCATTGCACGCTCTACATCCATCCGTCTGTGCGTAGCATCATGCGGGGTCATCCAATGCCGCTGACTTGTAGTCCTCCTCTCCAGTCTTCACATGACATATCAAAGAAACAGTCTCGTGGTCCAGCTACAAGAAACCCCTTTCTACCGCGGAGAAGGGGTTGAAAGGGTTAAGCGTAAAAACAAGCGCAGAAGGAACCAGGTGCGGGCAGGGTAGATGGCGTGACTGACAATGCGGTCAATGGGCGATGCACCTGGTACGAGTTCCACCCATCCCCATGCGAGGCTAACTATGAGTATCAAGTCAAAGCCAGTGAAGGTTCTCGGAACTTGAGACACGAGCGTCCTGTCTTCCGACTGCCAGGGCTTGACTTACCGTCTAGCCACCAGCAAAAACGTCACTTACTATCCTTGCCCCGACGAAGAATGCGGGGTGGAGAAGGCCTTCCGAGGTGGATGCAAGGAGGAAAGGGGGCATGTCGCTGATAAGATCGAGCGATAGGAGAGAGCTCAATCGAGACGCGCTGCTTCGGTTGCTTCACGAGTATCTGGGATCCACAATTGTGTACAGGGATGCTTGCTTGCTTTGTTTCATTGATGACGGATGATGTTAGATCGCAATGATTGTGGTTGTAGTTGTGGTGGCTGCATAAAGTAAGGTAAGGTACAGAGAGTATCGATCAGGTGCTGAGGCAGTCAGGCATTAATTGGTGGAGGAGCCACTGACGCGAACTGGAACACGGCACGCGTCACGCGTCTTGAAACCCCAATTTATGCCGCTTTGGGAAGTCTAGATATGAAGTGTGATATCATGCGGGTGATCATGATATCCTCATATTGTCCTAATGCTGGAGGAAGAGTATTGATGATGCCTTAGAGGATACGGGAAAGAGTGCCTTTTAATATATTGGGCAATAACCCTGCAGGTAGAGGGGAGCTGGATGGGATGAATCCAGGTGGATACTAGGATTGAAGGAGGGTGTCAGATGGAAGTATCCCACCTTCCCAACCACTGAATAGAGGAACGCGATGTCTTCTGAGGCCACAGGTCACCAGTGTCAAGGGACTGGGAGAATCTGGTTTTTCTCAGTAGTGTAGCCGACAGAGTACTCCGTACTCTGATGACCATGAGCATGTAACGGCAGCGGATCGCCGCGGAGCACGGCCATCATGACTGTAGATGCAATGCAACGCAACTCAAGTTCACGTCGTCCCACTCTCCACAGCACGGGCCAACCTGATGACAACCAGAGCAAGGCAACAATCAGTCCATGACATCGTGGTGGACACGGCGATGAATTGGTGCCTTGCAGACTGCAGACGGCATCCCTTCGCAGTGGCTCCTGCGCTCCTGTACTCCCTTCGCCCACTAGCAGGGGGCGGCGTTTTTTGCTCGCGTCCATGGCCATTGTAGCCGTTGTAGACCTTCTAAATAGCCCATTCCCTGTCTTGACGAGGGGAGGAAGAGAGTAAAAAAGCAGAGTTCAATCCTAGTTCCTAGTTCAGGAGGGAAAGAGGGCGCAGGAGAGGGAATGAGAGAACCCTTGTCACTGCCATTCTTTATTGACCATCACTCTGATTCATTCCTTCACTTGATCAATCAGTGGAATCAATCAATTGATTGATTGAATCAAGCCACACCAATTGAGTCTATTCCTGCTTGACAGCTTGCAGTCAGCCATCATTGCAATCACTTCAACTGAATAGACTTTCATTCAGCCCATTCCATCAGGCATCAAACTACCCAATCCGGAGGGTGGTTGCATCCTGAGGCTCCTCCGTTTGCGGAACCGAGAAAAAGGGAAAAAAAGTTTGAAAAAAAAAAAGAGACCAACTCCTTTTCGGCGCCGTGCGCCGCCATACATCATTCCCCCATCATCTTCCTTCCCACCCTCAATAATCCCGCCCGCCGCTTCGCAATTCTCCTCCGTCTTCCGTCGATTCCTTCCATCAACCATCATCGTCGCTCTCTCATCGCATTATTCGGAGCCATCTCCGACTGAAGCGCTTATCTTTCCTATCACAATCTTTTGCTTTTGAACCCGGCAGCTCGTCATACTCGTCTCAACACCCCTTCCGGCGCAAAAACAAGCCCGACGCGCGCAATCCTCTTATTTGGCGCACAATTCGCCACCATCCTAAATTACCACTCACCACCCTTATTCGACTCCCTATCGCTTGTTGTCACTATCAACTCCACCCCAATCGCGAATCGCATCGTATACGTCACATCATGTTACTTCCATCCGCTCTTTCCTGCGACGTACGGCGACCGGCGAGCCGCTCGCGCTACACTCCCAACCGCTTGTTTTCAACACCTCCCCCGTCCGACGACGATTTCGTTCCTTCAGGCAACGGCCTCCTCGGAACCTGCCGCGCATTACAATCACTTCTCCACGGATCCCCAGCGCCTCCTTCCCGAGGCGCAAATCCTGAGCTTCTCCAAAGTCCTGTCCAGATTCGATCGCGCAAGCCATCGTCGCGCCAACGCCAGCGAGAGACCAAACACACACAGATTCCCGCCTCCCGGATAACCCCACAAAGCCCTTCGGCTGGTGCTCTCAAGCGCCGCCGCGACGCATTTGAATCGGAGACAGAAGACGAATTGCCCACAGTCACCACTCCTGATCGCAAGACCGATCCCGAGACGGCATCAACAGATGAACAATCGATGCGTTCGCAGCGCTTCGCCACACCCAAACGTCAGAGACACCTTCCCTATGATCTGCCTCTCGGTTTGTCACATTCAGACTTCTACTCTCTCCATTCACCACCCGTGTCGCAATCCCCAGCGTCACCGGCGCATCAGCAACACGCAGCCCCAGCGGCCCGCAAAGCACGCGCAAGCGCAAGCGCAACAACGCACCCTTACAACCCGGACACAGCGCTCCCCTCAATAGAGGGTTCAGAATCCGCGCTGTCCACCTCACTCCCATCCAGTCCCGATCTCACCTGGGTCGAAGAAGACGACCAACGCCTCATCGGCCTCGTACTGGAGAAATTTCAACTCTCCCAGCGCACCTGGGACGAGTGCGCCGAGAAATTCGGCAAGGATCACGCCTCCGTCGAACGCCGATGGCGATCCCTACTCAGCGATGGACACATCGGCCTCCGTCGCGCCAGCGATCGTAAAGTCCGTCGACGATTGGATGAGAGCTTAATCTGATCTTCCCTTCTCTACTTTCTCGTGTCATCTTTCACCCATACTTTCCATTCTAATCACTCTTTCCTCCGCCTTCTTTCACCGACCGACCATAATCAAGCAACCCACCTCCTTGACGGAGAGACTTGATCTATCAAACTTACAAAGTCCCTCGATGGGACCTCAGGGACTTTTGTCCAGCAACTCCCAACTTTACGTTACTAATGTATCTATATCCATCTATGTATTCTACAGCCTACAAAAGGGGGACACGGTTTATACGGGGCGAACTGAAATCTAGGCGTGTTTTTGGCTTCTGTGTTTGGCTTATGGGATATGCGTCTCTTTTTTTTTTTCTTTTTTTGTTTCTGGCGGATATTCCCCCTTCAGTTCTTTCTATTCTCTAGGTTCGAGGTTGGTGTTTTTTTTGGGAGGGGGGAATTAGACACAAAATCATTCCATTGAGGCCATATCTGGTCTCGTTTTCTTTTCTGAATTAGTTCCTTTATGGAGTACAATAGCTTAGGGTCGTTGGCATATAAGCTAAGCTAAGCTAGCTACCTGAAATACCGTAAAGTGATAAAAGCTCTTCGTTGATTGCGGATCTCCCGGGGAGTCAAAACTCTTTGTTCGGACCACCGACTATGGCGTGTATTGGGGAACTCGTGTATGACATGTTGGTGCTGGGGTCGGTCTCCGTGATCAGGAGCGTAAACTGGGGGATTGATCTGCCAGGTGAGTGATCTAAGTTACCTGATCGGGCGGCGCTAGTGATTGCGAGGGACGACGAACAAGTAATCCGCACAGCCGATGAGTGGGATTCAGAGGGCCTGGCCTGCCTATTTACATACCTAGGTACATAAGGTACATACACTTCGGCTTCCTTGTACTGGACCACAAGACAGAATCATGTCATTCCCACCACTGTGAGCCACTGCTTCTTTGCTTGTAGTCAACGTCAACTATATGGCTTAGGCCCGGTTTTGCTTGTCCGGTTTCCTCTGGACTTCGTGATACACGTCGGGAGTCGTTGAATGATATAAGCATAATCAGATGAAGTTGAAGTGCTTCGCATGTCTTCATTGTCCACGGGCTGATCATGACTCAACAGATAGGCGGGACCTTGTCGGGTTGGTTCTAGATGGATCGGCTTACCTGAAGTATGAATATGGATGGAAAGTTCGTACTGGGATTCATTATGCAGTTCTTGTTATTGTCTCTTTTCACCTCAGCCCGACCAAAGACAGAAGATTTAAATATGCAGACACGGACAAAAAAAGAAAACAAAAAAACAAACGCCAGAACGCCCAGCTCGATGATGTGGACCTGGAAGTACTAATAAAATGTAGGGGTGGAATACATGGATATCGGGTTGAAATCTTCGTTTTGCTCGCATTGGCCCTTTTCTTTCTCACCGTGAGTCGGAACCGCTCTGACCTGCTCTGCCTGCAGTAACAGTGAACAAGCTAAAATCTGCACATCCATCACCAATTAGCCAGGCACAAAGGACCGGGTGAGCAGGCGCACTTACCGAATCTCATAGCTTCCTGCTCGAGTCATATACCGCACCCACTTGACGCTGCTGTAATTGCTCTTCTCGAAGACCTTGAGATAGCGCACCAGCAGCCCCGAACTGGTGAACATGAGCAGACTGAACGACAGGCTGAGCGGGGGCCGACTCCAGGCCTTCTGGTGGGTCATGCTGGTCAGCGTCGCCTCGGCCGTGAGCACGTACTCGCTGCCGCCGGAGAAGCGGGCGATCTTCCAGACGATGTTGTTATGTTCGGGCTCGTACTTGGCGCGGCCCTGGCTGGTGCGCTCGGTGGTCTTGGCCGTGTTGAGCGGGGTGGGGATGCGGATGACGACGTTGGTGGCGAACAGCTTGGAGCTGTAGTTGGCCTTGATGGCGACGCTGTACTCGACCTTGGTGGTGCCGACCTCGCGCACGATCGGGTGCACCTTGAAGGGGAGGTTGACGTTCTCCGTGGCGCGGTAGCGCATCAGCTCGAACTCCCCGTCCGGCGGCACGAACGAGATGATGCGGTCCGCGTCGAACCGGCCCAGCTTCACGCACTGGTGGAACTGGCAGTCCTCCAGCGTGACCGAGCCCGCCGCCGCGCGCGTCGCTTTCGTCGTCCCATCCCGGTTGCCGGACACCATCCCGCTGCTGCCGCCACCGCCGAACGAGCTCCCACTCCCACCACCACCACTCCCACCCCCGGCCGAGTCCCCATCCAACAACAACCGATCGTTGAGCCCGAATTTGCACTCCGGCGTGCCGGACAGGTACGCCCGCATCACGATCTGCCCGTTCACGTCCGCGCGCAGCACCGTCCCCGTCGCCGACATCAGCAGGTTCACGTCCTCGATCACGTCCACAAATGCCTCGTTCTTGCGGTATTTCACGTCCGACCGCCGCCACGACAGCGCCCCCGTCGCTTGCATAGTGATCCGGCTCGAGTCCGTCGCGGAGTTGGCGATCGCCGACCGTACCCCTTCCGTCGTGATGTACATCTTCAGCGTGTCGGTTTCCGTGTTCTGCGGATAGCCATAATCGAGGATTTCTGTTTTATTTTGGTTCCGTGACCGTAGTTAGCCAACCATTCAATTTCCGCGAGCAAAGAGAGGGGGGAAATCGGTTCGCTGGAAGTCAGATAGAGTGCGGTCTGGGAAGATTGGAGGAACAAATGCTAGGTAGGACCTCTCTCACCATCCAACAACTCGTAAATCAGCACAAAGTTATTCTTCACGGCCTCCTCGTCGAACTTCCCGAAATAGCTCCGCCCCAGCATCACCAGGCGATACAGAAACTCGAAGACCAGCGCGGCATTGGCGTTGCTCTTGGTCACCGCGACCAGGTAGATGTTCTCGTGCTTGACATGGCTGAAGGTTGTTGAGCCCAGGGTCAGGATCGGCGAGCGCACCTGCGGGTTGGAGATGACCTGGATGCGGAAGATGTCGGCCAGGCGCGGCCGGCAGTCGCTGCGGAACGAGCGGAAGATGAGATTCTCGCCCTTTTGGTTGAAGACGAGGATGCCGGAGAGCATGGTGGAAAGTGAAGGGGGACGAGACTGAAGGGGTTTAGGGAAGGAGGGGAGAGAAAGGGAAGAGGGGTGAGGGGAATGAGGGGGAGGGTTGGTTTGAAAAGGGGGTCTCTCGGTGGGTGCCGGTGGATGGACGCCGGGAGAACTGCAGTGCACCCTTTCGGCGGCGGAGGTTCATCCAGAATCGGCGATGGGGCGGAAGGCGGGTGGGTGTGGGGGAGTGAACTGCACACTATCCACTACCTATACAAATTGCATGTAAAATTATCCGTTTCTACCGCAGAATATATTGAAAGGAATAGGAGTATATAAGAATGAGATATTTCAGTGTTTTCATTACTGAGAAAGGAGATCTCAAAGGCCCTGTTTAATTACTTGCTTCTGTTATAAGAGACATGCTGTCTAAGGCCTTGTTTCTATACTTCTATACTTGCTTAACGACTGACTTGGAGAGGTACATTGTAAGGCTTAAGTCGTGAACTTGCTTTCAGAAGTATCTCATAAAGCCATATTTACTATAGACTACCTACGATAAATTAGTGGTATATGCTCACACTAGAAATGTTAAGTACTCGTGTAAATATTATAATTCTTTTCTTTGATGTCGATGTTTGGCTACGGAATATATAGTGTAGAAATGTGGTGGCAAAAGCAGCCTTTCGGAATTAGATAGCATTCTCCTAGCCAGTGAGCTCCTCTACGCATTATAGGTAATTGATTCGTTTGGTATTATGCCATTCAAATCACTTGAATCTCAGTCTACTCGGTGGTACAATGACCAATCCTTGTGCTCTAGACTTGATGGCAGTCAATGATTGCTTTTATGGCTCTGCTGCTCTAGCTGCATCCATCAACACACGCTCAACATCTTAAGTACAGTAGCCTGCCTTTCGCTCACCCACATTCAACGTCTAACAGCACATCCGGGTCAAGCTACCCGCGATGATCATCAGGGAGAGTATTATAAATCTTGGGGAAGTGAGTTGTAGAAGACAAACAACAAAGTAATAGAACCACAAAGGTGGGAGAAAGAAGGAATGGTAACATCAACAACAGGTATCTTGAGGATGCTCCGGCTGGTGTAAAAACCAGAACATCCAGCACTTGATTCATACAAAACAGTCAAATGGTATCAAACACTCTGTAACCAGGCATGGATATCGTGCATGTAAAACAATCAAAGGAACAAGTGAAAGTTAAAAATTAGAGTATGTCTCGCAGCATCGCGCACATGTGCAAGAGGGCAATATATGCATGTGTGAAGAGAGCGATGATTAGAAAGAAGTAAGCCTTTAAAACATAGAAGGCAAAGTATGGAAAGTGAAAGAGAAGAGAAGGAAAGGCAAAGAAAAGAAGACGACGGCCGTAAATTTCACACCGCACCACTGCTCGGGCGAGTTCCAGGCAAGGAGAAGCCACTCTCACTAGGAATGATACCAACCTTTGGATCCGGGATTTGGATATCTAACGAAAGATAGGCCGTCCGTCGTAGACTCCAGATGTGCACTCCATCCTTCGCCCCAACCTCCCTATTCCAGTTCTCTAGCCACGATTCCACGCTGTTCAAGTGACTCTTGATCGCGGGAGCACCCACGTCCTCCCATAACCAGCCAGTAAGCAAGCCTAAGACGCTGTCGATGATATTGCGGAAGCTGAAGGGATCGAAGGCTTTGATGAGCTCGTCATTCACCGTAGCGATGACTCTGCGGAATTCTTGCTCCGGAAGCAGCGGATCGAGAATCTCGGGATATAGATTCGAGAAAGTCGGAGCGAGATCCCCCTTAACCATCCAATCCCGTCGAATCCGGATGATACGCGTTGTGAGGAATTCTTCGGAGTTGATCGAAACGTGCGGGTTGAAGTGAGGAAAACACGGGTGAGCAGGGCCCCAAGCCAGTTCTTCGGCCATCTCAGGCTCTCCACCGGCGGGCAACCCCGTATTTGAGGGCACGGAGGCGATATGAGATTGCGATCGCAGTGAAACTTGCGACCGGACATGACGGGGCCGATCGTCCGGGTGCGGTCCTGGGCCGTCGGGCATGAACTCCAAGCCTAGATGCGCCCGCTCCGGGGTGCGTGGTTTGGATGCATCCTGGGCGACATTCGACAACCCCAGATCGGACATTTCTTGCGAGCTCAAATATTCTTCGACTGCGCCACTGCGCCTCTGGCCTCGAGGCACTGCGATACTAGAGCGGCCACTCTCGGTTTCTCCCTGGCTGCGCTCGACCAACAGACTATTGGGGGACGGGTTGAGTCGACTCCGGCGTTGTTCGGGGATGGTCAGAAGAGGATAGGCGTCCCGATGCGCCTCGAGCGGCAGATCCTCCTCCGATGGCTGCGGGAACCGAGGGACAGTGACTGGGGTGATGCGCGGCACGTAATTGATGGGATTTGCGAGTCGCACCGATGGCGGCCGTAAGATCGACGGAGAGATCCAGGAACTGTTCCGGCGGCAAGAGAATTGGGCTTGGGAGGATGTTTCGGCGGCGTCAACGTCGGCTGATGTGGTGGGATGGTACGACTCGAACGAACAGCGGCGGACGCGGTGGGCTCGGGGGGGAGCACGATCTTTAACCTCGGACGATGGTAAGGGTGGGTCCAACGGCGGCCTAACGGGCGTCGTAGTTGTGGAGAGAGACGACAGTTGTGGCAACGGGATATGGTCAGGCTGTGGAGGAGAGGCCGTGGTGAAGGAAGAAGACGTGGTGGTGGTGGTAGTAGTAAAGTTGGAGTTGAGGTTGCTAGTGCTGATTGTGAGAAGCTGCGGAAGAAGAAATGATGTCGATAAAAGCGACCGTGTGGACGAGCGGTGATTGGCTGGCAAGGATCGAAAAGGGGCGCGGCAAGGGACAGAGCCTGATCTGAGCACGACGACATTCAATGCTGCTGCTGCTGCTGTTGCTGCTGCGGTGGTTGAATGATCGCTGGTAAGTATCCTCAGGTAGGTATGATTATATGTCTTTGGGTTTATCTCAAGCAGTGAAGGAAAATTTGAGAGTAAAAGAAGGTTGGGGAAGAACGAGTGTGATGGTAATGTGAGAACTGAGAAGGGAATGGCAGCCGATGTGAGTGGGATCAATCAAATCTCTAAGTATATACTTCAAACCTCCACCAGAAGCTTATATAGAGTACAGTAGGCGGGATGGCAGGAAAGGAGCAATGACGATCAATGATCCACAGAAAGCAAAGGAATTAACGACAAGAAGAATGAAACAGCACAGAAAGCCCCCCCTTCCCCAGGGGACTGCCATGATTCTTATTACAACGGACGACTTCCCCCAAGACCAGCCGCTATCCACTTGGGCCCGGCGCAGAAACAATAAACGAGTCAATAGCCAAGTAAGGCTCCATCCCATTCCATCACATCCAGTCGGCATGGGAAGCTTAAAATCACTTCCAGTTTGTTCAGGGCGCCATTTCCGGCGAAGAGAGCCATTGCATCATTTCCCCTTCTTTATGTGGTGGAGTTGGTGATTGCTGTAAGGTTTGCTGATTCATTCATTCATTCATTCATTCATTTAAGAAGATGGAGGATCATCCCCTGCCCATGACGACATCCGCCCGGCCTGGATCTTCAGTCACGTGTTGCTGCGGTTTGCCTGTTTGCATGGTTGCGTGCCTGGTCCTGTATAGTCAGTACTACTACGACCAAGTTGATTGCTACTCCGTACAATCAAATGTTCTGACATTGCTTGATGCAATAATCCCAAAAATAGTCTCTAAACTCGAGTAGTCATCTCATCGTCAACATCATTGCGCCCGTCAAGCTTCTCATCTCGGTCCGTCTTGGAGCTGGTCTCCAACGCTGGGTCCGCTCCTTACCCGTCATCTTCAACCACCAGCACCAGCACCGGCACCAGCACCACACTGCTACTATCCTTCTTCATCCTACCCGTGAAACTTCAAACATCTGCTCGCTAACAACCACCACCACCACCACAAACAGTGCCTTTAGACAGTGTCTAACCCACAACCATTCCAAGGGAATGAGGATAGCGACACTTCAATTCGCCCCACAATTAGGCGATGTCAAGGGTAATATCAAGAGAGCCGATGAATTACTGAAGAATGGGAAGGTGGTGCGAGGTGTCGGTACGGGGACGGTTGGCCTGGACGTTTTGAAGCCAGACATTCTGATTCTGCCCGAGCTGGCCTTGACGGGTGAGTGCGACTTTGTCCTCCCTTTGACTGTCACACCATGCATGGGCTGCGGGATGGTTGGGCTGGGTGGCTTGTGTTGCTGATCCACCTCCACCTCCACCTCCAAGCTCCCTCACCTCAAACTCTCTCCGAGACAGCTTGGTGAGCAAAGCTTGCTGACGTGAATAGGATACAACTTCCCCTCCCTGGAGGCCATCAAGCCGTATCTGGAACCGGCAGGAGAAGGTCCCTCGGCCGACTGGGCGCGGCAGACCGCCCGGCGCCTACAGTGCAAAGTCTGCGTGGGGTATCCTGAGATCTACACGGAGACGGCGACCCGGGAAGGAGAGGACTCAAGTAGTCAGCACGAGACTTATTACAATTCTCTCCTTGTGGTCGATGAGAATGGTCGGGACATTCTCAACTACCGTAAATCCTTTCTCTACTACACTGACGAAACCTGGGCATCAGAAGGTAGCGTGGAACTTGGCTTTGAGAATCTGATATTCCGGAAAGGGGATCAACACTCCCGCGAGTCACACATAGCCACCTCCTTCGGGATCTGTATGGACATCAACCCGTACAAGTTTGAGGCCCCGTTCACGGCATGGGAGTTTGCCAATCGAGTCATGGACTCGAAGTCTCAGCTGGTCATTTTGTCCATGGCTTGGCTATCTTCCTTGGGTCGGGAGGAGCTGGACCTCCTCGCGGATGAGCCTGATCTAGATACGTTCAATTACTGGATCCAGCGGTTCTTGCCACTCATCACGAAAAGAATGAATCATGAAGTTAATTTGAACGAGGATGGCTCTGATCGAAGCCAGGATATCGTTATCGTCTTTGCCAATCGAGCGGGAGAGGAGCCAGGAGCAGCGGGGGCGAACCCGGTCCATTATGCCGGTACCAGTACCATCATCGCCATCTCACAAAGACCCAAGACTCTTCCCGTGTCGGGAGCTACTTGTTCAGTTAATCTGAGCAGTTCCAAAGCACAGACGGACGCGGAGGATGACGGAGAAAGCCAATTTGACGTCAAAATCCTTTGTTGGGACATGATGGGCGCAACAACGGAAGGGATATGTTTTGCTGATACTGCGGCAGACCCAAGCATGGTTTTTGCGTTAGCAAAGCGATCGTCGAGCTAAGGGTGCGACTCAGCGGAGGTCGGCTTTCTCTAATGTTGGTTGGCTGGGTTGCAGCAGGGCGCTGTTAAGTTACGACCCATGCCGGGCGTTGCAGGCTAGTATCTAGTTACTTACCGTCTGCATCCCGTGGTTGGAGTGATATCATCGTAAAAGCCGACTGTCATTGTCAGTTGTACTCTTTGGTACTCTTTGGTTTTAAGTAGACTAGAAAGCATGGATCCGTTCCCTTCGACAAACCTTTCTCCTTCTGCGGCCCATTTCCTCCGACAGCACGCTGTGCTCATATAGGGTGAAACTTTTTTTTGGCCCCCGTTTTCTGTTTATTTCTTTTTTGCCCCTTCAAAACACTCGAGGAGCCCACCACACCTTTGAATTCCAGCCTTGCTATGGTCCCTGCTGCGCTATCATGTGAGACATCAAGTTGGGTGGTGGTGGGGGGGACCCATTATTCTGAGCAGCCATCCATGTGACAGGAGTCGTCAACAATCAACTTCAAGTGTCTTGCAGCAACACTACCAGAGTTTTCTTGCCCCCATATTCTCCCCATGCTCAAGAAGAACCATTTTGAAGGCTTGCATTGTGGCCAAGATTTCCCTCGAGAAGTGCATTCTTCCGTGCATAAGCAAAATACTTGCTGGGTGGTAAATTAGTTCTGGATCCCACACAAGCACCTTATCTCATGACCCAGCGATCCACCACTGTTGCCATCATATGGTTCACCACCCCGCTCCCTTCTTGACGACCGGGCATTCAGACCTGCTCTGCCTTCTTGGCCTCGTTTCTCCATGTAACCCTCGAATGTTTACTCCAGAGTCCTAAATCCGGTCAAGAGAGCAAACATGTGATGATTGAAGTCAGCGGACAGATGGGGAGGGATTGAGAACTCATCCAGGGCAAAGGACATTTCTTCTGCTGGAACGATAGTAAAGGGGTCGATATCCTTGTCGGTGGAAAGTTCAGGGACTCACTCTTCGAACTGCATGTTTACAAGCTCCTCCCAGCAGGTGGGTTGACTAGATGTATGTGGACGAGCTGGGGGTCATGGCCGACATACTGGCAGTAGCTACAGTTCATCCTACTGGGTGAGCGGAGAAGTAGATCATGACGGAGCCCATTCAATGAACAGCGTTGCTGCTGCGCAAGGACGAGGGATCGGCAGCTAAGCGAACGAGCATCAGGGAAGTTATGGAATGGACTTACATAGCTACCTTACCCATAACTACATGCTGACTACCTTAGTCTAATTAGCCTGGACTCTTTGACGACTACCAGTATCTAACTACATAGTGTTACTTTACTGACTTGCTGTCTAAGAAGGAACGGGCCGACCGGGATGAGCAGGCACCCTATTCTCCCATGGCGCAGCAATGAAGGTAGTCTATACGCCACTAGCTGAGGTTTGCAGATGGTAGGTTTGCTCCTTCGACGATTGAAGCCTTTTGGGCGATGGCAATTGACTCCGACCATCTTCCTCCGCTCTTCGGGCAGTGCAGGCACTGGGGCCCGGGCACTAACTACACAGTAGTTACACCTCCGGGCTGATAAACTTGTTAACCCTTTCGGGCAAGGAGGGTTGTCGAATTCCACGTGATTCCGGGTCAACCCCTCCTCCGGCTACCGGGAGAGCATAGGGCGGCTAGCCAATCACAAGGGTAAGCTGGATAGCTGAGAGAAGAGGGGGGCACGGGATGGCAGCACATGACATGTGGATGAGAGAGCGGTTGAATTAGGTTGAATTCGAAGGTGGGTGGGAAGAAAGAGGGGGGGGGGGAGGTGGAGGAGGAGAAAGTGCAGCAAAAATGTAGATAATCACAGAATCATGGTGGTATGATGGTGA